AATGTCCTCAAGAGCATTAAACTGGATCCCACGTGTGGTGATGCACTTCTACAATGCAGTTCTACATGGAGTGTGTTTGATCCTCGTAGTTCTGTGAGGAAGGTATTACAACCCATTTACAGATAAAGAAATGGAGCCTGAGAGTCAATGGATTGGAGAGAAAGCACGTGTACTGTCTTCCCACTCCAGAGGTGTATCTTCCTTTAGACCCTGCTACTTGCATGATCTGACTGTTGCTCTCTCCAGCTTAGAGTAAGTTCGTCGACAAGCACGTGGCTTCACTGAACTCAAATGCAGTTCCTGGATCGAGCCACCTGCCTCAGTGGTGCCGAGCTGTTGCACATGCTACTCCCTCTCCCCGGAAAGACGCCTCCCTTCCCCTGCCCCATTTAGCTAGTTAGTTCCTACCTTTGCTTTAAGATACAGATCAAGCAGCACCTCCACTAGACAGTCTTATGAGAAGTGACATGGTCTGCTCAAGAACTCTTTCTGTTGTGCCCTGGCATTGATCACAGAGTGATTATCACCCATTAACTTCTGAGCTCTTTGAAAATATAGAGTGCCTGTAAAGTGTTTGTGGACTCACTCTTGCACATTGTATCCATACAGTAAGCAGACAATGCATTTTGAATAGAACAAAGAAGGGACTCTAAGAGCTGCAGGGCGTACAGAGAGTCTTAAATATTGAATATTAGTAATTGATTAGATCTCATTTGAAAGAAAACCAATGTCTCCTATTGATTATTACTGAAACCCATGCTAGAAATTTTGCCCTTTTGAAAAATAATCTCTTGATGGATCATGCGTTAATATTAAGCAGGTACATTTTGTACTTTTTCTAATCTTTGTAGTTAACTACAGGAAGAGATGAAAAAGCAATTTAACACAAGAGAAACAGAGAGACTAATTTGAAGTTCTAATCAATGTACTGCTGAAAGTTGGGTGACAAAAATCTTGACTTTTTAAAAAATAAAAACAAATTTAATTTGTATTTTCCTATATACTATAGACCACAAGCGTTTTGATATACAAAGGTCATCAAATACACTGATGTGTTGGGTTGCCAAAACAGAATTCTCATCATATGGAGGCTATTTTAAAGGCCATGAATAAGCCACATTATATTGCACATCTTGACTTATTAACAAAAGAAAATCAAATAATCATCATGAATTATAATACAATTTCTCTGAATGAGATCTTTCTTCAAAGTCCTGTGAACCATGATATGGTACTCTTTAAGAGGCTGTACTACTTCTGAAAGATCATGTATTTTCTTTTCACTACTATCCAGGATTTTCCAACTTTCCCTTAAAGAACATGAATTACTTTCATAGCAAAAAACTTAAAATAAAATAAAAAATAATAACCACTCTTTCTATCCAGTTTGTGCTGTTCAATAAAGGCACTGTCCCATCATCTGCCATTTGAAGAATCTAAGCAATAAATTGCCCAAATGGAAGCTCAATAAAATTTATAATCTGACAGAACAACTCCTGATACCTGTTTAAGCACCCTGGAACTGCTGAAAGAATCTGAGTTTTCAGAACCACCAATGTGGTATCAAAGCCCTACTTTGAAGGGTATAAACTGTTAAACATTACAAAGTACATGTACATCTTAAAGAATTATGAAATGAACACTTAACGTACTTAACACAGTTAAGAAATGGAACAGGAACATTGAAGCACCCAGGGTCCCTCCTGGAACGCATTCTCTCTTAGAAATCATCACCAACCTAAGTTTTGTATTAATTATGCCTACACTTTTATTGTTCTGCCACACATATATTTCCTAATAATATTGTTGTTTTGCTTTTAGGCTATATCTAAATGACAAATATATTTACATATATATACACACACATACACACACACCACCTTTGATAACTTAGTTTTTTATTCTTAACATTCTATTTGAGATTCATTCCTGTTGATGCATGAATACATCATTTTCGGTCTCTACATTATTCCATTATATGGAAATACTTCATTTTATCCATTCTATTAGAGGCCTTTTAGATTGTCTCCAGCTCCCCAACCTCCCAGGAACAAATAATATTTCCATGAAAATTCTTGTAATTGTTTGCCCCGGCGTACTTGTACAAGCATTTCTTCAGGGTGGAATTGTTGGTTGCAAGGACTACATTAAAATTTATTAGGTAATAACTATTTTCTAAGGTGGCTGTACCAATTTATACTCCTACTACAATTTCATGAGAGTTCTTGTTGCTCTGTTTTCCCCAATTCTTATTATTATCAGACTTCTACATTTTGTCACATGGTTTTAATTTGCATTTCCCTATTTTCTTCTAAAAGTTTTCAAGTTCTGCCTTTCTCATTTAAGTCTTTGACCCATCTTAATTTTATTTTTGTGCATGAAGTTACATACCTACCTGTTCTTTTCAAATTTTCCTTTGATTTCTCACGGATAAAAAGAATTTTCAAAGAGAGGTTTTTCTTCTCCCTTATCTCTACTCCCACCCCTTTGGAGGAGACTCCATGGATTTATCAAAGAATATGAACAGAGCACCGGAGAAGATACTTTCTAAGGAATAAGAATACAGGGAGTTTTTACTGGACAATGATGGACATAAAGCTCCACTACTTCACATGAGGCCAAAAACTGTTGAAAATTTAATAATTTTGCTTTCTATATCTGATAAAAAGCCATCCAGATTAGAATAATAATGGTTTAAGAAACTTCACACATAATTGACAAAGTGGATAGCGTCCAACCATGAAATTATGATCACTGAATCCTTGAACAGCTGAGGCACTGAAATTTTTAAACTTGATGTTTAATACTAAATGACATACTGAATATGGTACAAAGTAAATTATAAACTATTTTAGACAGTCTGAAGCATAATCCCCAGCCTGCAGAGTACTAAGGATATACAGACTCACATGGTGTCTTTACCACCTTTACTGAACACTGATGGACAAGACAGACTCACTAACAATGAGTATCTGTAACCCAGACAACCTCAGTGCTGGGCTGGCCACACACACATGATGAATGCAAAGACGCAATGCGCAAGAGGAAATGCAACCATTTAACAAACATGAGCAGGTACCCAGTCTCACAAACTGTAAATTAAAATAATAATGAATACCACTTGTGAGTGTCACAAATTAACAAAAAATATTCTTAATAAGGCTAACCAACGCTAATGAGTGTGTTCTGAAATGAGCATTGTCACACACTGACTTTTGGTGGTGTATACCATCCTTTTGCAAAGATAATTTGAGGCAAACTGCATCGAAGGCTTTAAGGGTGTCCACATTCTTTTACTGCAATTTTACTTTATGGAATATACCTTAAGGAAATAATCTGAAAATTAAAAAATAATCAATGTACTAAGATATTTATTGCAGTGTTCTATATATACATACCTGTAGTAGCCAAAATGGAACTAGCTCTACAATGGTTAACATGTTTATATATATATACTATATATATACACAAAATAGGATGTTATGTAGCCATTAAAAATAATCTATATATAACATTTCCATTTAATATATGAAGAACACAACATAAAACTGATTAAGCTATGTTAAAAGAAGAAAACAAGCAAAAAATTTATGCTTAAACGTAAGGTTGGAAGAAAACAATGAGACGTTAACAGTGCCTGTTGAATAATTTTCCCCTTCTTTCAAGCTTTCTCTAGTGAGCTTGTATTCCTTGTATAATAGAAACATATAATATAAACATAATTAAAATTAATATGAAAAGTACTCAATGTTTTTCACGTGGTATCTGTTAGCAGCAAGCGTGCTATCATTCATCGAAGCTGCACCTCGGCTTGTGACAACTGGGTGACGGAGGGGATTGCTGTAGCTTGTGTGCAATTCACTTCTTCCAGCTCACTTTCAGTTTCAAATAACTGTGCAAAAATATGAAATATCATAGGAACTAAGGAAAACACTTCATTGTACTGAAGAAAAATCTACCCTTCACTCAACCCACAGTGTTCATGCATAGTCTTCACATATCAAAAGGATAAACAATAAAATATATGCAGGCAAGAAGCCAATAGCATAATTTGTATAAAGCTGTAGTCCAGTATTCCTACTTATTGACACAAGATAAAGGTAGGACTATTTGGAATTCTGAGATGAGATAACCTACCATGTAAATTAATATTACTGAACTGTTTATTCAGTGGGAGAGGGAGAGGGAGCAAATGGAACTAACATTTGTTGAGTGCCTGTATGTGCCAAGCACTGTAGCACATCTCACTAATCCTCATAAAGACCCTGTCAAGTAGGGATTGTAAATTCTGATTTACCGGTGAAGAAACTGAAGCTCATAAAGTCAAGTAACATGACCAAGCGTAGCACTGTGCCTGGCATGCACTAAGTGCTCAATAAATATCTTTTGAACGGATGGTAGGTAATACACCTAGTAAATGTAAGTGCCAGGATTCAAACTTGGCTCCATCTGGCTACAAAGCCCACACTATTTCCATTACAGTACACTGCCTTCTGTGTAAGACTCTGCAGAATTGTTTAAAAAATGGTTAAGATAGGTCATTGCCAATGAAACATGGTTAATAAATCTAGGAACCTATGATGTCTACCTTCAGATCAGAGCTATTTCAATTTCAAAATGTACGGTTGGGAAAGGATGAGGAAAGATAAAAAACACACAGAGGATCGTCAAGGGCTTCTTTAATTTTAAACATACATAGTACATGAAAATAACATAAATCCATATTAATACACCATATTTGTATGGAACATTATTTAATACAACTTATCCCTTTTTTGTTGTTGAATTCTACCAACTTCTTTAAAATGTTTTCTATGAAAACACCATACAAAATGTGTTAATTTTATGAATGTTAAGTGTTATGTCTCTTTTCATTCTTTGCCCTGTACTTACATCAAAACAAATTATTTGAAAAGGCTACAGTAAGTAAAATGTGGCATACTTTCTTAGCTGCTTTGTATCTTGTATTAAAATATTCTACAACTATAAAAAGTTGAAAATAATTTTATTGGTTTTCCTATATATAAACCCATGTAAATATAGTTGTATCGAATATTTTATTAGCTATTACAGATGTTTTTTTTAAAAAGTTATACCAATGTTATTAAAATATTTCCTAGGAAAACATCATCCAAAATGTATTTTAATTTTTATGAATGTTATATCTCCTTTCCTTCTTTGCTCCATACTTCCACCAAAACAAATCATTTGAAAATGCTAATATAAATATAATGTGACACGCTTTCTTAGCTGTTTTGTATCTTGTACTAAAATATTTTACAACCATAAAAGTTGAAGAACAATTTTATTGGTTTTCGTGTATATAATCTCCTACCTACTATAAGTGAACTGATCTATGGAATTAAGTCATTTTGTTATCTCAAGTGTAGAGAGGCTAGAACATAAGGAAATCGCAAAAACTCCAAGATGATTAAAGTAGATGCACATTAAAATACTATAGATGTGGCATATTTAATATCTACCAAGCAGAGAAAAAGAGTGTTTATCTTTGCATTTGGTAACAGTATCTTCAAGATAACTATTTACCACTTTTCAAAGCATTATTATTGGATAGGTTTTATATTAGAGGAGACAATTTATAAAACGTCACCTTCCCATCCAAAACCAAAAATAAATGAGAACTTAAAAATATGTTATTATAAAGATGGTGACTAGAAAGAAAGACTATTCCAATGAGCTACGGGGCTATCAAGATGAAAATGCCTTTGCTTCATTCAGATCTAGAATGTTAAAACCTCGTTTAATAAATTTAACTAAATTTTCTTTTATGATTCTGTTTAACTCCCAAATTTGGCTGCGTACCATAGCAATTTTTATTTTACCTGGATATTAAAAGAAAAACCACTGGATTCTATAGACAGATTAATAACCTGTTGGACTTAGGTTAAGAAATAATCAGTAGAAAATACTTATCTGGTTGGGTAAATAAATTTCAAGAGATTCAAAACATTACAAAATAAGCTGTTTTTAAAAATACTTAACTTGTATGAAATGATACCAAAAAAGTTATTAAAAGCTATTAAATATCTTTCCTGAGGGCTAGTAAAAGCAAAAACAAACTTAATAGACACATGGTTACAAATTTCCTCACAGAGGTAAAGAAGCTGTGATCAGTATCAGGATCTTAAGAAAGTGTCATTTCAGAAAACTGTATTAGTCTATTCTAAATGGTTTAGAGTTTCAGCTGGTACATCCTGGTTCTAGAGAAAATCGGAAGCAATTCACCTAGTTGGATACAAAAGGATGTACATATCCTTGATTTATTAAATTTCATTGTTCTTTTACATACATTTTTCTTTCAAACTTTAAGATGAACATTTGTTTATGCAGTATGAAATGATTTAATCATTTAAATGACAAGCTTAATAAGGCTGATATTCAATGGAAAACAATGAAATAATTTACCTTTTAGTAATTAGAAACACTTGAAATCATTTTTATTATCTTCTTTTTAAGGGTCCCTTACTAAAGCTTGTGATTTTTATTACTGTAAATAAGCCAAAAAATGATTGTTTTTGACACACTTCTTTGCACCACAGTGTAACGGTAGTCTCATTCTCAGTTAACCTTTAACACTCTGTACATACTATTCTGAAAGACTGTGGTAAAGTAAGGCCTTGCATCCTTGAGTAAGATGCTACATAAGGGAGGGTTAGCTGCATTGGAAGGGTCTTCCACATCCCAAATTTCAAGCATACTGCAACCAGGCCTGAAATAAAATAGGTACATATACATCCATATTAAAAATGCATTCATATCTAGAGGAAATAGGTAAATTATAAAGTTTCTCCTAGATTTTTAGAGACTAACTTAATAAATTAAAGATTTTAAAGCATCATTTCAAAAAACATAAGTTCAACATTTAGAGATAAAAATGAAATTAAGTATGTTGCATTTTTATGTTCCAGTTAACCAAATAACCAATATATTATTGAACCGAATAATAAAGGTTCAATACACATTCAGAAATATATAAAATTTATTTTCAAAATTAAATATAAATATATTTTCTACATAATATTGCCATGTAAACATGAGGCCCATTAGTAATAGAATGAGACAAATTAGAGGAAAGATAATCTAATTCCTGTTGAATTGTATATTTTTGAGCTTAATGTGACTTGGATTAGCATGAAAACATAAAGTCCAAGGCAAGGAAGGGAAGCTTTCATGCCAAGTTTGTTTTCCTCAACCCTTTCCCATCTTGGGTTGGGTGGCTGAGACAATATTTCTCACTTGAGAATAACCTTGCATGAGAGTCATTAAAGGGAAGAAGTCAGGCAAAATTGGGTTCTACTTTTTTTAATAGCTATATTGAGGTATAATTTATGTACAATAAAATTCACCCATTTTATGTGTAAAGTTTTATAAGTATGGCCAAATGCATACAGGTGTATAAGCACCACCATAATCATTATACAGAAACTTCCATCACCCCAACAAGTTCCCTTGTACCTTTTGCAGTCAACCCCTCCCCTAAACACAGCCTAGGCAACCAGTGATACTGATCTTTCTGCACTATCGTTTTGCCTTTCCTAGAATATGCTAGATATTAATACATATCCACTTCAGCTTTCTTATGTTACTCACATGGCAACATTTTCATCCTTTTTCCTTCAACCTTTCCTTCAATGTATTTGTATTTAAAATGCATCTCTTATAGGCAGCACATAGTTGGAGTTTGCTTTGTATTCAGTCTGCCAATCTCTGCCTTTTGATTGGAGTGTTTAGTCCCCATTCATACTTGCAAATACTCATATGGTTTGACTAAGGCTTGTCAATTGTCTTTTTTCTTCTATTTGTTTCATCCCCTTTTTGATCACCTGTTTCTCTTTATTGATTTCTTTTATGTCAAGAAAAAGTCTATTGGCCTATTAATTATTTTTTTGCATTTTTTTTTAGTGGTTGTTCTAGGGATTACAACAGGCATCTTCAATGTATCACAATTTACTTAACATTAAAATTGAATTATTTCCAGTAAATCATAGATTTTAATTCCATTTACTTCCCTTTCTTGTGCTATTAGTGTCATGCATATTCAAACTATTTACATTATAAACTCAAAATTACAATGGTATCATCTTTTCTTTAAATAGTCATGTCTTTTAAAAATGTTCAGAGAAGAAAAAATACATATACATATATAGTGATTAATATTTATCCACATATTTACCATTTCCAGTGCATTTCAGTATATCGTGTATATCTGAGTTACCATCTGGTGTCAATTCCCATCAGCCTATAGAACTTTTGTTCCATCTTCAAGTGTATGTCTTTTAGCAACAAGTTATCTTAGATTTTACTGATTTTAATGTCTTTATTAGCCTTAATTTTAAAAGGATAGTTCATAGTTTCATTGAGTATGGAATTACTGATTGACTTTTCTTTCCTTCAGTACAGCTGGCCCTCTGTATCTACAGGTTCTGCATCCACAGCTTCAACCAATTGTGGATTAAAAGGCCTATGATGGTTGCATCTGTACTGAAAATGTGCAACTTTTTTCCTCGTCATTATTGCCTAAACAATACATATAACAACTATTTATACAGCATTTACATTGTATTAGTATTACAAGTAATCTAGAGATGATTTCAAGTATATAGGAGGATTGCATCGGTTATATGCAAATACTATGCCATATCATATAAGGGACTCGAGCATCCATGGATTTTGGTATCCACAGGGGGTCTTGGAATCAATCCCCTGCAGATACTGAGGGGTGACTGTATTTTGAATTATTATTCCGATGTCCATTGAATTCCATTGTTTATGAGAAGAAGTCAAGTGTTGAACATATCACATCACTTCTCTCTTGTTTCTTTCAACATTTTCTCTTCTCTCTTCCTTTGTCACCAGTTTGACTATGATGTGCCTTGGTGTGGTTTTCCTTGGGTTTACCCTAGTTGGATTTGTTGAGCTTACTGGATCTCTAAGCTAATGGCTTTCAGCAAACTTGAGAAATTCTTGGCCAACAGTTTTTCAAGTATTTTTTTCCTGCCACTTTTCTTTCTTTCATTCTTTCTGGTACTATATTACTCATGTGTTGAACTAAATATTACACAGGTCTCTATGGCTTTGGTTATTTTTCTTCAATCTTTTTGATCCCTGTTTTTTTGGATTGGCTACTTTTTCTTGGATCTACCTTCAAATTCACTGACTTTTTTCTGTTGTCATATCAAATCTGTTGTTGAGCACGTAAAGGATTTTCATTTTACTTATTATACTTTTCAGCTCTAGAATTTCCATTTTTCTAGGGAGGCTGTTTTTATTTCTCTATTGAGACTCCATATCTCATCATTTACTGATACCATATTTTCCTTAATTCTTTGACTATATTTATAATAGCAGCTTTGCAGTCTTTGACTGCTAAATCCAATATCTGGGCCTACTTGAATAAGTTTAGATTAACTGCCTTTTTTTCCTGAGCACTGGTCATATTTTCCCATTTTTTTTTTTGCAGGTCTATTAATTTTTGGTTGGAAACTGGACACTATAGATAATACATTGTAGTGATGCTGGAATCTGTTTTGTTCTTCTAATAATTGTCAATTTGTTGTTTTTGTTCCATAGGCAATTAACTTGCCTGGATCTCCTGTCATGTGCAGCAGCTCTCTCTTCTCAGGTTTTTTTTTTTTTTGTGAGGAAGATCAGCCCTGAGCTAACATCCATGACTATCCTCCTCTTTTTGCTGTGGAAGATTGGCCCTGAGCTAACATCTGTGCCTATCTTCCTCCATGTTATATGGGACGCCGCCACAGCATGGCCTGCATCCACAGATTCAACTCGGTGCATGCCTGGGATCCAAACCCAGGCCGCCAGCAGCAGACCATGCACACTTATCTGCTACGCCATGGGGCCGGCCCCTCTTCTCAGTTTTTGAAGATTCCAGTTACTTCTTTTTTTAGCCCTGGGGCTTTCCTTGTGTTTTTATCAGCCATGGGCAGAGTTATACTCATATTTGGAGGCCCATCTTCTCTGTATTTCCCTTGCTTCAGGGGTTATCCCCTAAATGTGTAGTTTCTTTGGTATCCCTTTTTTCTGCTCCTGATACCTTGAGTGAGTAATGATTCTACTTTCTGTTTCCTGGGGTATGGTGCAAGTTGGGGAATATACCTAGTCAAAAGCACAGGAAATTAGCAAATTTCACGAAGAGAAGTTCTGTCTTTCAAGGATAGACTCCTTGCCCTAGTTACTGCCTGCCCTTTCTCTAGGCTCCTTGGGGTTGCCCATGGGAAAGTGTAGAATAGTAGTTAACCAATGATTTAGGCAGAATTTATAGTCAGATTTTAGATTTCAGCCCTTCTGCAGTGCTCTTGCTTCCAAAACGTGTCCTTTAAATATCCAGCTGCTTTGCTACTCAGAAGTCTTTCATCTGTCCCCTCAAGCCAGTAGGCTGTGACTTTCTGCTATACCTGAGGCAGGGAGAGGGTGGTTTATGAAGTGCTCTCAGGTAAGAAAGTCACAAAATCATACAAGTTCTTTAAGAGTAAGTTTTTTCCAAGTTTCTCCCTGCTTCTGTGTCACTTTCCACAGTCTTCAAATAGTCGTTTTAAATACAGTCCATCCTAGCTTTGCATGGCATCCTATTAACTTAAGCATATACACACTGGAACTATGTCCTTGCTTTAAACAGTTCCGTGATACCTCTTAGAGAGGACATGGTTCCAATATAGATGAGTTTCAGTTAACGTGACACTGAGCTTCCATGGAACCATGCAAAGCGAGGACATAGTTTTGACAAGCCCGGGTTTCAGTGAATATAGTAGCATGCAAAGTGAGGAGTGCTTGTGTTTTCACCTAGTTCTTATAATTGTAATCTCTGGGAGAAATAACTCAACCTCTTCTTGCCAATATTAACTGAAATCCTCTAAAACTGGTTTCTTATGGGTCTTATGTTTAATTATTTTGGGCCTTAGACCAATAAGTCCTAAATTCAGTTTGTCTAAACTATAAAAGCCAATTAGAATTTTACATTATTTTCCTTCTATGTCATAGTCTGAGGACCTTTAGGCAAGGAGTATGTAACACTTAATAGAATACAGTTGTGAAGAAAAGTAGAAGCAGCCGATTTTGTGAAAACAAGCTGTATCTTAGTGCTTTCTATCTAAGAGATGGCACTGCCTTGTACAGACCCATCTGGTTCTTAATGCCAAACCCATAACAGGAATTACTAATCAATCACAGCTGTTTTTCAGTCTGAGCCCAGGTGTGTTTTCAAACATGGTCTACACTAATACTACCAATAAGAATTGTCTTGAGAAAAAATTTGCTATTCTTGCTTTGGACCTTATTCCTGGTGTTCTCAGAAGTCTACTAGCAATAGTTCTAAAATGTTTTTTAAGTCATAGAACTTTAAAAGAGTTGTTCGCATAAAAATTTATCTTTATATTGAGAGTAACTTTTTACTGAGGTATAATGAATTATAAGTAAAAATGCCTGGATTTTAGTGTACAGTTCCATGAGTTTTGACAAACGCATACACCCATAGAACAAACATGTGAATCAAGATAATGAGCACTGCCATCACTCTAGAGAAAAGAAAAACAAAAGTTCCTCAGACCTGTATATTCTCCCATCTTCCGCTCCACCACAGCCAACCACTATTCTGATTTCTATTCCCATTGATTAGTTTTGCCTGTTTTGAATTTCATAGAAACGGAATCATATGATATGTACTCTCTTGTGTTTGGCTTCTTTTACTCAGCATGTTTTTGAAATTAATTTTTTTCTCCCCATATCAGTGGTTTGTTTCTTTTTATGGCTGAGTAGTATTCTATTGTATGAATATACCACAATTTATTTATTCATTCTTCTCTTGATAGATATTTGGGTTGTTTCCAGTTTGAGCTATTAGGAATACAGCTGCTATAACATTTGTGGACACATGTTTTAATTTCTCTTGTTTAAATTCCTAGGAATGGAATTGCTGATGGTAGATATATGCTTAAATTTTATAAGCAGCCTCCAAATAGTTCTCCAAAATGGTTGTATATTTTTACTCCCATTAGCAATGTAAGATATTTCCAGTTAATCTGTATCCTCTCCATTGGGTATTTTAGTTTTTTAAATTTTATCTGTTCTAGAATACGTGTAATTGTGGTTTTAATTTGCGTATCCCTGAATATTGAGCAACTTTTCATCTATTTACTGGTCATTCACACATCTTCTTTGGTGAATGATGTTGTCCAAGTCTTTGCCCATTTTCAATTGTACTGTCATTTTATTATTAATTTGTAGAATTTCTTTATATAAACTATATTTATAAGTCCTTTATCAGACATATGCTTTGCAAATATCTTCTCCCAGTCTGTAGCCTGCCTTTTCATTCTCTTAACAATATCTTTTGATGAAAATATTTCAATTTTGATGTATATAATTTATTGATATATTTTTTTTTGCTAAGGAAGATTTCCCCTGAGCTAATATCTGTTGCCAATCTTCTTCTTTTTTGCTGAGGAAGATTCACCCTGAGTTAACCTCTGTGGCCAATCTTCCTCTATTTTGTATGTGAGCCACTGCCACAGCACAGCCACTGACGAGTGGTGTAGGCCCGCACTTGGGAACTGAACCCAGGCCACTGAAGTGGAACATGCTGAACTTAACCACTAGGCCACTGGGGCTGGCCCACAATTCATTGATTTTTTTTTATGGTTAGTACTCTGTGTTCTAAAGAATCTTTACAATTTTAATTTTTATATTTAGTTCTGTAATCCATATCAAGTTAATTTTTGTGTATGGTGTAGTATGGGTCATGGGGTTCAACTTTTCTTCTATACAGATATCCAGTTAGATCAGCAACATTGTTGAGAAGATCCCTTTTCCATTCAAGTAAAAAACAGTATTTTTTAATTTCCCTTGTGGTGTTTTTTTCTTTGACCCATAAGTTATCCATAAGTTTACTGCCTAATTTCCAAATATGTATGGATTTAGTAGATATCTATTATTGATTTCTAATTTAATCCTGTATAATTGCAAACCTTTTGACTATATTGAGACCATTTTTACGGCCCAGCATATGTTCTCTCGTTGTGAACATCCCACGTGTCCTTGAACAGAACGTGTCTTCTGCAGCTGTTTCCTGTTGTGTTCTGTAAATGTCAATTAGGTCAGGTTATTTGATACTATTTGTTGTTCATCTCTTTTATATCCTTACTGACATTTCATCTACTTTTCTCAGTGAAGAAAGGAATGTTAACATTTCCAACTATGACTGAAGATTTGCTTATTTTTTTCTTTTCGACAATAGCTGTATTTTATGTCTTTTTTTTTTTTTGGCGGTAACATTGGTTTTTAACATTATATACATTTCAGGTACACATCATTATACTTCTATTTCTGCATAGATTACATCATGTTCACCACCCAAGACTAATTACAATCCATCACCACACACATGTGCCTAATCATCCCTTTCACCCTCCTCCCTCCCACTTTCCCCTCTGGTAACCACCAATCCAATCTCTGCCTCTATGTGTTTGTTTCTTGTTGCTTTTATCTTCTACTTATGAGTGACTTCAAATGGTATTTGACTTTCTCCCTCTGACTTACTTCCCTTAACATAATACCCTCAAGGTCCATCCATGTTGTCACAAATAGCTGGATTTCATCATTTCTCATGGCTGAGTAGTACTCCATTGTGTATATACACCACATCTTCTTTATCCATTCATCCCTTGATGGGCACTTAGGTTGCTTCCAAGTCTTGGCTATTGTGAATAACACTGCAATGAACACAGGGGTGCATGTATCTTTATGCATTTGTGATTTCATGTTCTTTGGATAAATATCCAGCAGTGGGATAGCTGGATTGTATAGTAGTTCTATTCTTAATTTTTTGAGGATTCTCCATACTGTTTTCCATAGTTGCTGCACCAGTTTGCACTCCCACCAGCAGAGTTCCCTTTTCTCCACATGCTCTCCAACACCTGTTGTTTCCTGTCTTGTTAATTATAGCCATTCTGATGGGCGTGAGGTGATATCTCACTATAGTTTTGATTTGCATTTCCCTGATAGTTAATGATGTTGAATATCTTTTCCTGTGCTTGTTGGCCATCTGGCTATCTTCTTTGGAGAAATGTCTGTTCAGGTCTTTTGCCCATTTTTTAATTGGGTTGGTAGTTTTTTTGTTGTTGAGATCTCTGAGTTCTTTATATATTTTGGAGATTAACCCCTTATCAGATATAAGGATTGCAAATATCTTCTCCCAATTGTTAGGCTGTCTTTTCATTTTGTTGATGGTTTCCTTTGCTGTGCAGAAGCTTTTTATGTTGATGTAGTCCCATTTGTTTATTTTTTCTATTGTTTCCCTTGCCCAGTCAGACACAGTACGTGAAAATACATTGCTAAGACCAATGTCGAAGAGCAGACTGCTTATGTTTTCTCTAGAAGTTTCATGGTTTCGGGTCTTCCATTCAAGTCTTTAATCCATTTTGAGTTAATGTTTGTGTATGGTGTAAGATAATGCTCTACTTTCATTTTTTTGCCTGTGGCTGTCCAGTTTTCCCAGCACCATTTATTAAAGTGACTTTCCTTTCTCCATTGTATGTTCTTGGCTCCCTTGTCAAAAATTAGCTGTCTACAGATGTGTGGGTTTATTTCTGGGCTCTCAATTTTGTTCCATTGATCTGTGTGTCTGTTTTTGTACCAGTACCATGCTGTTTTGATTACTATGGCTTTGTTGTATATTTTGAAATCAAGGACTGTGATACCTCCAGCTTCGTTCTTTTTTCTCAGAATTCCTTTGGCTATTAGGGGTCTTTTGTTGTTCCATATAAATTTTTTCTTTTAAATTCTACACATTTTTACTTTGTGTACTTTGAAGCTCTGTTTAGATGTATACACATTTAGAATTGCTATGTATTTTTGATAAATTAATCCTTTTGTCATTATTAAATGTCCATCTTTGTGGTAATATGCTTTGTTCTGAAGTCTACTTTGTCTTACTAAATTTTAAATTAAATTATTATGATGTTCCTGTTTCTTCTTTTGTAAGATGCCTTTTCTTCCTAGATATATTTGATATTAAAATTTGATATAAAAATTAGCTACTAAAATTTCTGAACTTAGCTTTTCAAAAATTTGTTATACCCTATTCCTAATTATCCATTGAAGAAATGAAAATTCTTAATGTTAGACTTACTACAACTAAGGAGTCTTACTTAGATGTTAGACCTACTACAATCAAGGAGTCTAAACCAAGGCCTCAAGATATCCATTAAACATTTAAAATTTTATCATTTTTAGAGATTCAAAATTTAGAAATTTAAAAATTTTAATTAGTAACATTTCTTATTATGTCCTTTTATGTGAAATTTTTCTTATAAGTCTTATAAATCCAATGTAACTCAGCTATAGTAGCAGAATGGTAATACCTCGCTTTTCTGTGAATTCAAATCTGTATTTCAGACATCTAACAAAAGTTATCAGAAAAACTTGAAAAATTACGGGAAAAAAAGCTAAGTTTAAGATATTAAATTAAAATGAAAAAATAGGATACTAAAATATACTATAATTTTTTGAAATAAGGTTTTACTTAAATGATAGTATAATTTTACTTTCCTACATGAAATAATTTTAAATAAAATATCAGGGTAATATTTTAATGGAATTTATTTAGAATAAAAATTCTTAAAGAATCAGGACTACTGTAATAAAGTTAAACATTTGTTGCTTAAAAAGATACTATGTCATATAGCAGAGCGCTCATACTCACTTAGTTCTCACAATGCACCAAGCCTCTTCTAAGACGTAATAATTCACATGTAATGCCAACAATTTATCTCTCACTTCTTTTACAGATTTTCGACTATATGTAGAATAAACTACTTTTGTCCGGGCCCTTTAAATTCAAACGACAGGTTAAAAATTTTTTTAAATAAATGATAATAAAATGGATTACAGAAATTTTGCTAGCAATTAAAATCTCAATGCTCATTGAAAGGAGCACTGATATATGTGACCCCCAAACAGCATGAATTATTTTTGGGATAGCAATTTCCATATTCCTACTTATATTTTGCATGTGCTAAAACTTCCAGCAGTTTGAATTTTGCAGGTATTGCTTGTTAGTGCATAAACCACTTTAAAGTCTAGAGTTGGGTAGCAGGATGATAGTTCAGAATACAAAATTTGCTTTGCATAATTCATAAAATAATCTGCTCATGGAACACATTCAGGTAGAGGCTGAATATAGTGAAAATATAGATTTCGGCAGATAATTTCATCTACAGAAGCTCTGAAAAGCATATGAGTTGCCGCCGCACGTAGGAAATAGAACATTTAGACAGTGGACATCCAGGGTAGCAGTCAGGTAGAGACCTTGCCTTAACAGATCCCTGAGAAATTTTAGGGATGTTCACTATAATAGGGTACAATAAATGATTTGGCCCTAAATTGGAGTTTTTATGAAATTCCTGAACAAATTACCATTTATGCATTAGATATTTCTTAGGATTTCAAACACATGGGATGCCCAATCTCCATAGACAGACATAAAACTTTAAATAATTTAAAATTTTACCTCTAACAATAGGCCAAAAATGTATTAAAAGAAAACAATTACCCTGACAGTTCCTAAAATGATTTTTTAAGTTATTTAAGGAAAACAAAACTTTCAGACCTCAATGGAAACCAGAGTTCTCATAATCAGCTAGCAAAAGAACACTCTAAATTTTCATAAAAGCATGTAATATAGTAAATTTCGTGTACTTTTTCTGTTAAAAAACGCTAGTCATTGGCCACCAGTAAGATCAAGAATGGTTTCTTAAATCAGGCAGAGGAGATTGTGGAATCTAGAGCAGGGACTGGCAAACCACGGCCATGAGCCAAACCCATCCCACCTTCTACTACTATTACTTAGGAGTTTTACTGGAACACACACATACCCCTCCACACTCACACAGACTAGTCATAAATGTGACACAGTTTTCATTTTGAGAAAAATTGGCTTTTGCTTTTTTCAGTTTTCAGAGGTTTACTAAGCTTGCTTTAGAGTCAACAGGTACATTTTGTAATTTCTGGATGGTTATTTTACATTTTTTTAAATTTCTATCATGAATACAAGGATGAGAAGGTGTGTGTGTGTAAAAATTTTTCCCTATTACTAAGAGTCAGTTTAGGTTGTAAGTGTGTCTGGTTGAAATATTCTATCAGTTGCCAACCTCAAGTCTGCATCCTCGTAATGTGGGTGATTCACAATGGGGTGAAGAGCCGAGAGCTTGACACTTGCCATTATAGGCATGGTACCTGCGAATACAGCATCTGAAAAACAAGATTATCTTCCTTAATAACACGTTTTAAAGAAAATCAAAAGTTACTTATCTATAATATTTGAACCTAAATTAAGAAAGATTAAGAACATTTAAATAATAACCATGGACATCATTTTTTTTCTTCACTCAATATTTACTGATTGACTACTATAATAACAGCCAACTTTCTGTTCAATGCTATCTTGGTGCCAGGAACTGTGCTAAATATTTTTACTAGGATTAAAGAATTTAATTTTCACAACTTTGAGGTGAGTTCTATGTTATTCTTATTTTGTAAATGAGGAAACTGAGACACAGCAAAGTTAGGTGACTTGCCCAAGACTACACAGCGAGGAAGTATCTGAGCCCACCCTCTGAGCCACTTCACTACAGCTTCCTGCCACATTCAAGCACTATGCTAAGAGACAGTACTACAAAGACACAGGACTAGAAAGAATTGCAAAATTTCATATCTTGTTCCAATAATTTAAAACCCTAGGAACTGAGAGACTCTTATACAGGACAAGTCTTATGATATATCTTTAAAAACAACTTTTTGCAGGTTGTGAACTGTAAACCTGAGGACTTGCCAGAGGAAAGCATTGTTTTTTTCCCCTCAGATCATCCTTAAATATTCATAATTAAGTTTTCTTAGTTTTTGTTTGACTTTATATAATTTAGACATTCCATCAAATCATTTCATTACGTGTTAGTAGTATTTTTTGGAGTATGGCATGTACAAATGTATTGCCTTTTGATTATAACAAGGGATACACTAAAATCTCCTGTCTGGCTTCAGTTTCAGTTTTGTCTCTTGGAAGTCAAAAAGATCAAATGCTTACTTCCTGCACTTTTGTATAATAAATGATTATATAAAGGTTATGACAATTTTTAATTGGCACAATAAAATCACTAGTAAGAGCAAAGCATGTTATTCAGATCTACTGTAAATAATGGAATGTTCACTTTCAAATATAACTAAGCATTCTAAATGTAACTTTGAATGAAAATCTCTTTTATATGCCTTAAATTGGAAAATAATCAATTGAACTAGAAATGTGTATTTATTTTGGTTATCACGCTAGAGCAATGGTTCTCAAACAGGGGTGACTTTGTTTCCTAGAGACACTGTCAACTTCCAGGGACATTTTTGGTTGGCACCCTGTGGCAGAGGGTGCTATTGGCATCTGGTGGCTAGATGGAAGGGCTGCTAAATATTCTGCGATGCACAGGACAGCCTCTAATGTCAGCAGTGCCAAGGTTGAGAAACCCTGGGCTAGAGGGCCCGAAAGCCCACGGCCAGGGTCATCCAGAAGAAACTAGGAAAGCCTGTCCAGCAAGAGCTGGAACTACTGAGGAGAAACCACCTATGGCAGAGCGAGGGGAAGAAATAATCCCCACCTGCTTCTTTTCTCTTGGTGAAGTAAATATGAGCTTGACAGGGAAAGAATAAGATCTTTTCCTATAAATATACTTAGGTCTCCTCTTACCCTACTGCATGTACAGTCATGCCTCGCTTAACGAAGGGGATACCTTCTGAGAAACGTGTCGTTAGGTGATTTCGTTGTCATGCGAACATCATAGAGTGTACTTACACAAACCTAGATGGCAGAGCCTACTACACACCTAGGCTATATGGTACTGATCTTATGGGACCACCGTCGTACATGCGGTCCATCGTGACCTAAACGTTGTTTTGTGGCACATGATTGCATTACAAAAAAGTATCCCTTCTGACTTGACAGAACCTCACTAACGCGTGACTTGGTGAGTGGACCATAGGGTGGATTTCAGTTCCCAGTTCTCTCAACTGAGCACCTTTGTGCAGTGCACAAACTATACAACCCTACACTACATGGTGGACCCGAACATAAGCACTAGTCCCCCCACGTATAGAACTTCATGCTGCGTTTAATAAACATGTGGTAACCATGACAGAACTCATAATACAGGGATGAAAAAGATTTATAAGATAAAGAAGAGGTGGCTAAAAATGAGGTAGGAGTTGGTGGGTGTTATCTTAGAAGGGTAAGTTGCCAAGCATAGGCTCTGCCAAGAACCCGAGACAAAAACTGGAAGAAAGAAAGACACAAGAAAAGATTAAAAGAGCAGGGACCTTTTAAAGCTTGGGAAAAATAGCTGTAATTGGGGAGGGGCAAGGGAGACTAAAGGGGGTACCTACCTTGTACTCCTCTAGGGAAAAAGTCAGTAGAGGATTAATTCAAATGTTCTGATTAAACTTGGCTGGCAGCTCTAAGTGATGAGACACTGTCACCTATACCCTTTGAAAGCCACGGACCAAATCTCTCAGTTGAAGTTTATAAAAGTTTACTTTAATGATGGCTAATTAGTAAAATGGTAACTATCAAATGAGAGATAAGAGGAAATCGATTCAAGGAGTCATAAAAATTTAAACAAACCAAAGTAAAGAATTTGTGCCAGAGAAAATTACTGAACATCAAAAAGAGTCTTGGACAAGATTATAGATTACTTACTGTAGAATATACTTATTCTCTGGAAAGGTATTTAAAAGTGAAATATCTATCTGCTTCAGGTGGTTTTAGATCAAGATACAAAGGAAAGAAGATAAGTTAAAAAAATACTTTTGAGTATTTAAAAGTAGGATGTATGAGATGATTTAGTGAAGAAGATATAATATCCAAGATTTTAACTCTTGTGCATGTGACTGGTTTTAGAGACTTAGAGCAGACAGTAGCAACTGAAGTCATGGAAGGGGTGTTGTTAACCTCCCTACAGCCAAAAGTATCTTCTCCAGGGGCCCGTCATAAGGTGTGAAATTTTGATATTAAAGATTTATTTCTTTATATGTGTCATTGTTATGGTTAAAATACAATAATGATCTCAGAGTTACAGCACATAACTTGTGAACAATCATTAATTCTTAATGTTAATTAAAATTCTTTTTGACAGTTATCTAGGAGGGGTTTAAAGAGGGCAGAAAATCACTTTTTGAAAAGGTTTGATTTGAGATATTGCAATTAGCAGGCTCAAAATCTGTGTGAGGGTATGAATGACTGCATATTTTAAAATTATATATATATATATATACACACACACACACACACATACATGAAATGATAGCTATATAATTTATATACACATATATAAATAAATGTGTGTGTGCGTGTATATAAAGCTAGTTATACATATAACTAAACAGCTACATACCTGGTCTGGTATTGTATTTGATCCACTGTATCAGTTCTTCCTGAGGCAAATTATTAAATTCTCCAATTATGCTCCATTGATTACGGAGGTTTGCAAAACCTTGTATTGACATCACTGTTAGAATGCTAAAGATAACATTCTCAAAACGAACTCTGTAAAAAAGCCAGCCAAAGAGCTGAAATGAAAGAAACCATTTATTTATAATTCTTATATGACGAGTACTATAGGGTCAATAACAAATTCTCACCTTGCTACTTAAACCATGGTGGTTACCATTTGATACTATCAGTACACTAATAATATACACAACTATCATCACCTATTGTTTAAAAAGAGTAAATATTTTGGAAATACAGGGCCCAGTTAAAAATGGAGCTTTCTTTCCTCTCCAAAGAATTAAGGAAGGAATATCTTATCCTTCTAGTACTGATTTGCTACCAGGAATTAAAATTAGCAAATTACAATTCTGAAACATCCCAGAACTAAATCCTACTAACACCTGGTTCCCTTTATGGATATCTTGAATAACTAGGGAACTCCACTAGTGCTGACATGTATATTCCTCTCAGGAAAATAAGCACTATGATGTTCCAAGACAAGATTCTCATAATCAAAACTAAATAAGGTGTTTCTAGAGGATCTTGGTCCCTAAATTCTAGCTACTTTGTCTAACTCTTTCGTATATTAGTTACAATAATGGAACCCCAGAATCAACAACTTCTCCTAGGGATTCTTCGAGCCAAATAAGACAATACTAGAGCAATGACCCTGCATCTACTATGAGTACTAGAAGAATACTTGAGGATAGGTTTGCTGGGCCAAGAAACTCTTGCACAGACCTGAACTCCAAAAACTGTCTGTGGACAGCTGACTAATAGGGGAAAGTGTGCTTCATCACTTGTCGAAGAAATCAGTTAAGATCCAGCAATAATTTTCAAAGCTACTTGAAGGTGCTTTTCTTATTCTATAGTGAATCAGGAACATTTTAAATCATTTAAGATAAAAACACTTAGTGTTTTTACGTTTTGGGTTACTCAGCAAAGCCACAGTAACTACACTGCTGTTACTACAGTTCTAATGTAGCTATACAAGAGTGAATACCTTACCCGTCGAGAGCATATCAAGGAAGCCATAACACACATGTGAGGTGTCAAAAACAGCTTCAGCCTCATAATTAAAATGGCAAGAGCAGTAAATGCAAACAGCTGCAATGTGTGAAAAATTAGCTATAAAAACACAAAACAAAATGACATTTCACTTTATATATTTTAAAATTAATAAATATAAAACAAAGTATATTAAAACTATTATTATTCATTAGGACAAGGACCTTTTTTTAGTTTATTTTTTTATTGAGGTAAGATTGGTTTTTAACATTATATAAATTTCAGGCGTATGGACAGGATCTTTTAACTTAGTATTCAGTCTATTAATATCTATTTATTCATTCAACAAAGATTTACTGAATGCCTACCATGTGCCAGGTACTGTTCTGGGTGCTTCAGATACAACAGTGAACTAAACAACAGTGAGCAATTTCTGCCCTTGTGAGGCTTACAGTTTAGTACATTTAGTAAGGAGAGAGAGAAAACGAATAGACACAGCAAATAAATAAACCCATTATATAGTCTATTAGAAAGTGGTAAGTGCGCAGGGTGTGGTGTGAGGCCACAGCGGGGAGGAGTTGCACTCTTGCAATCGTAAGTGGGATCATCAGGGTGGGCCTCACTGAAAAGGTGGTATTTGAGCAAGGACCTACACAAGGTCAGGAAGTGAGTCAGAGAGTCATAAAAATGTGGAATGCTTCACAAATCGGCATGTCAGCAAAATTCAGTCAGCAACAAAAATCACAGCAAACGAGATTATTTTAAAAGTAGTGGAATTACATAAATATTTGCACTAATTAGTAGGACACCCCATTTTGATTAAGATGGGGTTCCACCGAACAAAGGTTTCAAACAAAACTTTTCTCACAGACATAATTCATAAAATATCAAACAACTCCTCACTAGAAAAATGGACAAAGAATTAACGCAACCCAAAGTAAGTCACAACTAAATATTCACGTTCTAGCTCACTAACACTTAAACAAATTAAATGTTAAAGATATTTTCATCTATAAAACTGACAAACATTAAATTAATACTGAGTGTTAGAGAGGATGCCATGAAACACCCTGAAATAATTAATTGGTACATTCCTGTAATTTAGTAATATTTATCAAGACACTAGAAAAGAGGCAACCCCTTTGACTTAAATTTCTGTTCTAGGGATTTAGTTAAAGGAATAATCAAAACACAAAAACACTTCCACAAAGATGATCACTGGAGTGAATTTTTTAGCAGCAAAAACAGAAACAACCTAAGTGGCCAATGAGTAAGTAAATTATTGCATTTCCACATGTATACAACCATTAAAAGATTTCATATCAGAAGATTATTTAATGGCATGGGAAAGTTTTCAGAGTATAAAACTCTGTACACCACAGAATGACATTAATTCTGTGAAAACCATCTGTGTGTGTATGTATACACACCCATGGGGGAAAAGGCTGTAGGAAAATATACCTATGGGGCCGACCCTGTGGCTTAGTGGTTAAGTGCGCGAGCTCCGCTGCTGGTGGCCCGGGGGCCTGGATCCCGGGTGCACACTGACGCACCGCTTGTCAGGGCATGCTGTGGCGGCGTGCCATATAAAGTGGAAGAAGATGGGCACAGATGTTAGCCCAGGGCCAGTCTTCCTCAGCAAAAAGAGGAAGCCCTGAGCTAACATCCATCTACTGGCATGGATGTTAGCTCAGGGCTGATCTTCCTCACACACAAAAAAGAAAATACACCTAAAAAGTTAACAGGTTATTTCTGAATGGTGATTTTTCTGCATTTTCCAATTTTTTTTTCAACGTGTCATTTTTATAATCATAAATACATAATTTATATTTAAAACAGAATGGCAAAAACTGTACCCAAAGCTTTTTTTTTCCTTAAGAAGTTTAAAAATGAAATTGTTAATATTTTTCATAATTCTTGGACCCAAAGTTGGAATGTGGAATATTCATTTCAAAATCAGCCCTTCATTTTTTCTTTAGTCAAAGTCATCTTCGGGTAAAATCAAGGACATGTTGTGGAGGGAACAAAAGACATCACTGAATCACAGATTGGTAGATTACATGAGTCATCTACTTTAATCATCTATCCAAAAAAGGGATTTTTCCTATAAATCTATGAACTGGATATTTACTATTTTCTGAATAGGACTATGCCCACAGGAGTGCCTATTATAATGATGGACAGCAGTAAATGTTAGAAAATCTTTTCTAAACCTGAACCAACGTTTCCTGGTAACCTCCATACCTCTGGAACAGCACAAAATTAGTCTAAACCCATTTGTGCTTGACAGTTCTTTATTATTTAAATACTATAATTACAACCTTGCACTATCCCCACCTTCACCCTTAGAAAGCTTGCTATTTCTAGGCTAAATATTCAGAAACCTTTAATCATTAGTTCTGTGTTGTCACAGTTCTGGTCGCCCTGCTCTGGATGTGGTACAGATCGATCATGTTTGTTTAAAATGTGGCATCTAGAAACAGACTATAACAGATGTGGTCTCATCAACGTGAGCACACATCTGACTTCCTCCAATATTCCTTCCTTTGGTTATTTTGAGCCACTATCATTTTCTCCCCTATTCTCCTCACTTCTACTTTAGCAACAACTTCTCATATGACCAAAACTAAATTCAAAGTAGTAATTCTCCTTGACTTTCCTCTATCATCTGAAGACTGAAAGGACTCTTTTCATATGGAGACTTGAAAGATCCCTGCCATTTCCTTGTCTTCCCTGCATGATGTTTTTGTGGCTGGATGACACAGAATAGCTATTCCAAATGGCATCACATTCTCACCCAAATGCTCCTGACCATTCCTCTACTCTTTGGCTCCGGAGTTAACATTGAGCTCTCTTGCCATGGTTATTTTATTTCCCATTCTATTACATAGCTTTCTTTTCAACCACCAAGTGGAGGACACAAGGCTACAGTCAAAAAGTATAATCCAAAAATCACTACTGTATGTAAACTACTGCCAAATCATCAGTGCTTCTTTCCACATAAAAATTACTAGGAAAATTCTCACAACACTTTTTAGAGGCTGGAAGCAAGGAAGGAAGAGAAGCTCAGGAAACTGTTCATTCCCCATCTTTGGAATAAGCGAGGCCAACTGGGTAAAACGTGAGGTAGCAGCTAACAAGCAGAGAGAATACAAGGACTAAGTGTCTGAGGCCAGTCCAAATGGTGGGCTGTGCCTGTCAAAACCACCTCCCATGACAGTGTGAAGATGCCTTGAGAGCATACTAAAGAGGTGCCCTTCGCTGGCACAATTAACAGTTGGAGCCTCCTGAAGTCTTGGTCCAGAAAGCACACTTGTAAAAGTGGACATTTACACAGTGCTTAACTTACACTAGGCATTACTGTAAGTACCCTACATATAACTCATCTATCCCAAAGCAACCATATAAGTACTATTATAATTATTGTTGTTTCCCAAAAGATATGAGGTTACTTAGCCAAGATCACACAATTAGTAAGTGGATCTGAGTCCAGTCCAGCTCTCGAGTCTATGCCCTTAACCACTATCCTGTGCTTCCTCTCCAAATAATAAACTATTTGACAACATGGTTCTATTAGTCTGTGAACACAGAAGTGTAGAGATTCCCAACATATATCACTCAATTCGTTTCTCAGAAGAAGTAATTCTTCTCTCAAACACTGTATCGCTTCACTCCCCATCACTTTATTCCTACAGAATACCTCTATATTGGTCCAGATGCCTTCACTGTATGTCACAGAAAACCCTTTGGCTGTAAGTAATAGAAAAACTTCGTTTATAACAGAAAACACAAACTCAACTGACTTAAAATATAAAGGATCAAATTATATAATAAACTGTAGGGATTAGAAAAAAAAGTGAAGGCTGATGCAGGACTGGCTGTCATGGACAAAATGAGGTCTGAGTGGGTCCAAAGGAAACTGAGGAGCCAATACTCTCAATGTTCTCTCTCCCTAGCCTATCCTCACACTAGCTCCTCACAGGGACTTTGACATTCTGGCAATAAATATTGTTCCTAGCTCTCCTTCCCTTCTTCTTCTTTCCCATGAATTAGTGGGTATTCCTTCACTAATTTCTAAGCCCATAAAATAGAAAAATTGGTTAAATTAATTTGATAGAATAAATAAATACAGATAATTACATGAAATTATGAGGAAAAATCACAACAGAATCCTTTAACCTAACACGCTTTAATAATATCATGACAGTGGGGAGATAACCCAGGCATTGTTTAGTAAGTGGAAGGATGCAAACTGTCCCTGATTCAGAGGGTTGGCACAAAGCAAGGACTTGAGAACTCAGTCTCTGGTGATAAAATCATCCTAAGCAATCCTCACCTAATCCTGAAACAAGCTGGAATGGTAACCTTTTGTCATCATATCACACTCAGAGTGAGTCACAGCCCTGTACCCCTCCCAAGGTTTATGCCTTCCATGCCCTATCACCCCTAAGGTGAAAACAGTCCCCTTCTCCTAAACCTTGTAAGGAGAGAGATTTACCAAGTGTGACTTACAAGTGGGAATGGGATGAGGAGCCAGCCTCTCATCCGGCAGACATAAGACTTCACACTGGTACTGCATGGAAATCTGTCATTTCCTTCCATAAGATCTACTGTTTTTAGAAATTTAAATCTCTAATCTGCCTGTACATCAGGAGTTTAACATACTCTCTTTAGTTTAAAAAGATTAAGAGATTTGCTATCACTGTCTTTCTTTTAGTGCCCTTCACTGTTGGCTTGACTTCTGATTGCCTTTTTAAAAAAACATCCTCTTTACTGCCAATAGACTTAAAATATTTAAAACTCAGATCTGACTGTACCATCTCCTGCTTTACTACAAAGTCTAGAATAACTCCAGCTTCTTTGCATACGAAGCCACCATAGTCTGAACTCTGCTTACTTTCCCCATCTCGTTTTCTGCTACTTCTTGCCTTTTTATGCATCAGCAATACTGATTTGCCTATAGCTCTGAACATATTACCTTATGCCTTCAGTGCATATCCTCTGACCTTGGCAAACTCCTCTTCTAATGTAATTTAAAAAAATCTTTCTCCGACTGCCCCACCCCCTCCACACAGATCTAATCATTTTTTTTCTGTATGACTTTTGTATCGACCTTTATCATTGTTCTTATACTCATCTGTTCACATTTTTTGTCTTCCTCCACTATACGTTAAATTCCATAAAAGGAGGGACCTGGTGTATAATAAGCACATTATGAAAAGTGAACTGATAAGTATATAGAATTAGTAGAAAAAAAGAAAAATGGGCAAAATAAGAATAAATGGAGAAATGAAAGACAATGAGAAAGCAGCAAAATAATGATATGAGAGGAGGGCAGAAAATTAAGGAACACTACGCTTCTAAAAAGAAGTGGGTTTTAAAGACTGTATGATAAATGGGTAATGTGACATGGCTGATACACATAAAAGCAGTTCACATTAGGCAGTAGTAGGATGAATGGCTAACAGCATGGATTCTCCTGCTACACTGCCTGGGCTCAAAGTCCTTGGCTCCACAAACCTAAGGGCACTTCAGCTTCAGGCAAGTCACTTGGGCAAGTTATTTAGCCTTTCTATACTGCAGTGGTTTTCATCTGTGAAATATAAACAACAATAGTATTTACCTCAATGGGTTGTTATGAGAAAGAAACTATGAATATATGTAAATCATGTACAAAAAATACCCTGTACACAGGACGCAGTAAGGGCTGACTATTACTTTGAGAGCACTGGAAATGGACTGCTTGGGTTCAAATGTAACCGTTAGTATAAATTAGCTGTGAGCTCCTAGGTAAACTACTTAATTTCTCTAGATCTCTATTTCTTGGCAGAGACCTTTGCTCTTTGCTCTTCTTCCTAGACACACAGCTGGACTCTGTCTCCCAGCCTCCCTGGCTATCAGCTGTGGCCATGTGCCTGAGTCCTGCTGTGGGCAGGAAGTAGTGTGCACCTCTTCCAGGCCTATCTCTTACAAAACCTCTAGTGCATGATCTTCCATGTTCTTTCTCCTCTGCTGGCTTGACGCAGACAAGCACGTCAACTCTGGAAACCACATGTTGAAGATGACAGAGTCATATATGGAAGGAGTCTGGGTCTGTCAATCATTGCTTGTTGGAGAGCCACCTGCTAATCAGGAACTCCTGTTTTTAACTTTATGTGAGCAAATAATTAAACCTCTACTGAGTCGTCATTGAAATGTTAGTGTTTATCTCTGTCACAGGTAGTACCACCTAATTACCATAATTTTCTTATTTGCAAAATGATATTCATATTATGAGGATTAAACAGCACAGTACATGGCACATAGTAACTATTCAAAAAATAATAGTTATCATCATAAGCTATTCCTATTAAGTTCAAACTTAGTTGCCCTCTCTTGTAAATTTGACCTTCACCTTAAGACTCAAAGTTCTATTACTTAGGAAATTGTATTTCCAGCCCATGCTGATCCTTCCCTTTGTACACTACAAAACAATTCAGCACCATATAGAATGCTGTCTTATTTGTTTCATGTCTCCATTGAAAACTCACACATATTTGAGGGCAGGAACATTGCTATACCATCTTCTGTATCCTATAACACTGCTAAGCTTGTAACTGGCTGACCATCAAGTTTGTGTGATGCAGAAGGCCACCAGTCACAGGGCCATGGGTACCTGCCCTGATGGGCTGTAGGCGATTAGCTCTGCAGGCTAGAAATTAATGCTTGTTATTGCTGAATGAAGGAAAGACTGAATGAATGAAGGTAATTTAATTATGTTCCATGGTCATAAATCAGCCTTCTGGCTTTCAGATCCTTACTACTGTTCAAAACAGAGCAGATTCAAGAGTGGAAAGGATCAGGAGAAATTTATCACCAAGGCTGAACCACTCAAGCACTGCTGATGGTGCCTCAGCAGCAAGGTTATACCTTTGTGAATTATCCTCGAGCTAGAATTTAATACACAAATCTACCAGAGATTAAAATGAAAGCTTTACCTCACCATGTTCAAGGAGCTGTTTTCTGGAATAAAACAAAAATATTCTCTACTTACTGAATGCCCATTATTACATAAAAATAAACTTCATTTATTTGTTTTAGATTTTGAAAATCTGATTCTCTCTAAATTACTTAGGAGCATAAATAAAAATAAAAATATTAGATAATATCACTAAAAATTACAGCAATTTAAAAGGCATGATTTATAGTCATCCTATTTAAAGTATATCAAAAAGCCATTCTTTGGTTAAGATAAAATAGATTTTACTGATTGCTGGAGATTGTACCTCTGGAAGGATATATGAATAAAAAGAATTTCTATTAAATATTCAACCATGTACTGTATATACAATACTTTAAATAAGCAATCCCGAACTTTTGAGTTGTTTTCATTTTTGACAACTATAAATAACATGAACATCCTTGTACATAAAACTATGAGCATCTCTGAGTATTTCCTTAGGATAAATTTCTAGAAGTAAAGTTATTGGGTAAAGCCCTATAAATATTTTTAGTTCCAGGAAAACAGTCCAACAAATTTACTAAATATTTAGTTCTAAAAATTTACTACATTGTTATGGCACACTTGCTACGTTCTAGGCACCATGCAGTGAGCACAGTGGGGATGGTGTAGAGGCTGTTCTTACCCTCATAGAGTTTACTTTAGATTCATACAAGAGTACCAGACTGCCTATTTTATTGTTCCATTGAAAAGATTGGATATTTTAGTTTTACAAAAAGCCTTTACAGGATGCAGAGGCCTTCTAATATGAATTTTGGGGTTGCAAAGAGAACACAGTTCAAGTAAGAAAGTAAAAATACAGCAGTTCAAGGGCACACACACATCTAGTGATAAAAAAAAAATGGGTAGTTGGGGGAAGCCCTCTCAGGATAGTAGTGAAATCACAAGATTACTTTGCCTCCATCACAGCTCCTTCCTAACTCATGCAGTCAAGGGTGGGGGGCGGGGATGTACTCCCCACTGTCCCGAAATCTGCCAGTCACAACAGGATCCTGTGGAGAGCTGTTGCATTCAAGGGAGAGGGCTGGTAGGTAAGTAATTATTATAATCGCCAAGGACTTGACAATAACTACTGATACAAATAAATCTAGTAGCTAATTTAAAATATGAATATGCAACTGAATCATAAGACACAAATAGCATGAAAGAGAAACACCAAGATGAATGAGCAAATGAACTGACCTCTCAGGAAACAGAGTTAATGCAAGAAGTAAAAGAGGGTATTAGGTGGAAAATTCCAACTATTATCTTCAGAGAAGTTTAAGAGTATATTGCATCCATACAATTAGAACAAGCCGCAATGATACAGAGCTTTCAGAAATTCTGAGGAAAAACATATGTGCCTAATTTAACACATCAAAGGAAGGCTGAATAGCAGAATGTACACAGCTTAAATTGATAATGCTGAAGATCCAGTCAGGGAATTCTCTGAGAACCTAAGAGAAAAAAGAAATAGAGAATATGATAAAAGTAAGAACAGATGTTCAAAAAAAGAGAGCCTAAAGCAAAAGAATAGAGAACAATTCCTTGAGCTAAAGAAAGATTTGAGTGTTCAAGTTAAAATGTCCCATGAATTAATAAAAATATAAAACACACACACACACACACACACACACACACACACACAATCTCAGAACTCTATAAATTTCCAGAGAGCAAAAGTAAAGACGTAAGACTCCTCATCTGTAATGCTCCATGCTAGGAAACAGTGAAGCAGTTATCTACAAAATGCTGAATAAACCCCAGAAATATTTACTAACCAATCCATCAATCTAATATAAGGGCAAAATAAAAGCACTTTTCCCTCAAGAAAGCACTCAGAAATGCCATCTCTACACTCTTTCTAAAAAACATCATTTGAGCAGATGTAGTCTTTGACTCTAAGAAGGGGAAAAACATGAGCTATAAGAAACAGTCAAGAACAAACTGGTAGAATCTGAAGTACAAAAATATCTTTTGTCTTTAATCTAAATGTTCAGACACTTCTTAAAACAGAAGATATTACAATAATCTAGCTAAAATTTCAGATCATTTCAGTATAACATGGGAGGTGAGGGTGTGTAGGAAGGGAGAAGTGTTCCCATAGCACAGTGGTGAAGCAAGTAGGTCTCTGAAGCGAGAGTACCTGAGTTTGAATCCTGACTTTACTACTTACTAGCTGTGTGCCTCTGGGAAAATTACTTACCTTCTCTGTGCTTCAGTTTCCTTATCTGTAAATAATGAGCATTATAACGGAACTCCTCTCTCATTGAGTGGTTGTGAGGATTTACTGAGGTAATACAGATAAGAAACTTAAAAGTACTGTCAGGCACATAGTCAATAAATGTTAGCTATTATTGTTGAGAGTAACAGGTTTTAGAAACTAATTAGTTCTTGATATCAATATATTTTCTAATAATTTAAGGGAAACAACTAGGAAAACAGAAACGGGATGTAGACAAACGATTCAGCAAATGTCAAGAAAATAATTTTTTTAAAGTGTGATGAAGAGAAAATCTAAAAAAAGATGGCAGGGTGAGTCCAAATTTAGCAGTTATCACAAAGAATATGAAAAGGGATTTAATTAGCCAATTTAAAAATGAATTGTAAGAGAATTTAGATTGAAGAGAAAAAATAAAATCCAACAATGAGAAATATACCTAAACCAAAATGTCACAAAAAGGTTGAAAATAAAGCATAGATAAAGGTACACCAGGAAAATACTAAAAAAGAAAGTGGATGTGGCCAAATTAATTTTCTATGAGGAAGGATTCAAAGGAAAAAGTATTAAATAAAGTAAAGAATATCCTTTAGAATAATCAAAGGTATACTCTATAATAACCATGTAATGAACAACAGCATTGAATATGTAAAGCAAAAACTGTTAACATTACAATTTTGAAAGCCAAAATACATTCTTAACACGATACATGAAGATAGCATTCTGAGAAAATAACATAAAGAAAAATAAATTGCTATACTAGAGAATTTAGAATAGCACTGTTAATTACATCATACAATATTTAACTTTGAACTCCCCAAAATATGAAATGCACGTTTTTAAATGCTCACAGAGCATTTACAAAAACTGAATGTTAATCTCGATAAATAGCAAATAAATAAAACCATAAAGGCGAAATACAAAACAGAAGAAACTAACTAGCTAGAAATTTTAACACATTCTTCTAGATGATTGTCAGATTAAATAATCAAAATTCAAACCATAGACTATATAGAAATGAACATCAATGGTAACGCTACACATACCCACTGGATATAGTCTAACTGGTCTTCAGAGGGAAAATTATACCTTTAAATGAATTTACCAGAAAACAATAAAAATTGATAATAAATGAGCTGGACATTAAACACAGAAAAACAACAAAAATACACCAAAAGAAAGAATAAAAATAGGTAAAAATATAAGCAGAAATTAATAAAATGGAGAACAGCCCTCATAGACATGATAAAGAAAACCAAAAGTTGGTTCTTTGAAAAATCCAAAGAAGAAAGACTTCTGATAAATCTCAACAAGAAAAAAGAGAGAAAATGCAGATATACAATGCTAAGATAGAGAAATATAATTACAAATACAAATGAAATTATTTTAAAAGAATTCATTCTACAATTTATGATCTATGAAATGAAATGGCTTATTTTCCATAAAAATAGAGATTACAAAAGTGAATCAAGAAGAACATCTGCATACATATATTGTTATATAAGATGTTGAAAAAATAGTCAGGGCTAGGCCCCTACTCTCAAAAAAAGGCCAAGATATTTTTATGGGTGAGTCTGTCAAATCGTTAAGGAACAGATAATTCCCATGTTAATTAAACCATCCTCAGACAACAGAGAAAAATATAAAGCAAATAAAACTATGAGATGAATATAACTTTGGTTCCAAAACCAGGTAGGGATAGCTCACAAAAACTCTATAGAGCAGTCATATATATACACACATACACCCACACACAAACTAAATAAAATATTAGCAAATAAGTTTCAGCACAGTATTAAAAGAATAATGCACAAGGACCAAATAGATTTCATTCTTGGTGTTCAGAAATAGATCAACATTAAGAAACCCATTAGTATATTATTTATAAATACTTAATAAAGTAAAGGAGAAAAGTCATACAATGATCCCAAAATATATATATTTTTTTTGTGTGAGGAAGACTGGCCCTGAGCTAACATCCATGCCAATCCTCCTGTTTTTTTTTTTTTTCCCTTCTTCTCCCCAAAGCTCCAGTAGATAGTTGTATGTCACAATTGCACATCCTTCTGGTTGCTGTATGTGGGACGCCACCTCAGCACGGCCGGACAAGCTATACGTCAGTGCGCGCCTGGGATGCAAACCCAAGCTGCCAGTAGCGGAGCGCGCGCACTTAACTGCTAAGCCACGGGGCCAGCCCCCCGCAAAAGTTTTTTAAAAGCTATTTTTAAAAATTTAATATCTTTTTTTTACAGTTTTATTGAGCTATAATTCACATACCACACACTTTCAACACTGAAGTTTAATTTAAAAAATTATTTTGGTTTATATGGACTACAAGGAAATTTCCTTAACTAAATAGAGGCTAACCATTACACACTAACAGCAAACAGAACACTGAGCCACTAAAGACATTCACCTTCCAGTCAGAAACAAAACAGTAACAAAGGACAAAGCCTATTATTGCTGTAATTATTCAAACTTGTTCTGGAAGTTCTAGCCAATACAGTAAGATAAGGAAAAAAAGAGAGGTATACATATTGAGAAATGATCATTATTTGTAGATTATATGATAACCTGCCTAGAAAAATCTAGAGAACCAATTGAAAAACTATAAGAATTAAAAAGAAAGTTTGGTAATGTGGCTGGATACCAAATTGATGTTTAAGAATCAACAGCTTTTCTATAAACTAGCAATGATAAATTAGCAAATGTAATTTAAAAATTACCATTCTCAATAGCAAAAAAAGAAAAAAAGGAAAAAACCTTACTAAGATCCAGAATTAAAAATCTTAGTAAGACTCACAGGGCAAAAAGACTACAAAGCTTTAAGAAAGTATAAAAATTAGAACAATAACAACAATAATAATAACGCTTGAGTGATTGTCCTGTCAGCAGTTCTAAGCACTTCACATGCATTAACACTTCTAATACATACAGCAACCTTGCGAGGTCGATGTTGTTATTCCCATTTTACAGATGATGAAACTGGGGCACAGAGGGGTTCAGGGACTTGCCCACACAAATAAGTAGAGATATATCATATTACTGGATTGCAGAATCAATTACATAAAGATTAAATTCTCTTTGAATTAATCTAAAGCAAATCCAATAGACTACGGTGGGTGCCTGGGGGCGTGGGTGATTCTAGACACATTTATTCCAAAGCTTACCTGGAAAAGTAAGTGTGAAAAACAATAACAATAAAGGGGAGATTGAAATAGTGCTGTTCTGACTCAGAAACAAATAAATAGATCAATGTAAGAGAGAATCTAAAACAGAATCAAGTACATATGAGAATTTATTAGTATGTGATTAAAACTGGTATTTCAAATGATTGGGGAAAAAGACAGATTACACAATATTGTGTTGGGACAATACCTCATTTTAGGGGGAAAAGGTAGATTCCTATATGTCAACACACTGCAAAATGAATGCAGGGTTGATTAATCATCTGTATGTAAAACAGAAAATTATGGAAGATGTTAGCAAGACAGTGAAGTGGGAGATACCTGCCTTGGTACCTCCACAAAAAACAACAATTAGATGGCTATCCACAAATGAAAACTGTTCCAGGAGGTCTCAAGAGTCCAATTAAGAACCTATACTCGGGGCTGGCCTGGTGGTGTGTAGTGGTTGAGTCTGCACGCTACGCTTCAGCAGCCCATGGTTCGTGGGTTCAGATCCCAGGGGTGGGGAGGGGCTACACACCATTCATCAAGCTATGCTGTGGTGGTGTCCCATATACAAAATAGAGGAAGACTGGCACAGATGTTAGCTTAGGACCCATCTTCCTCACCAAAAAAAAAAAAAAAAAAAGAACCTATCAGTGGAGCCAAAAACAGAGAATAACTATTCAGAAAGGATCGCTAAGGAGATCAGCTTAGTTGAGACATCTGGAGATGGCTAGAAACAAAGAGGAAGGGTGAGGGGTATCGGTTTCAGCCATGGGGCAGGCGCCATAGTGGTCCCCAGAGGCCTGCTGTGCAGGGACCCAAGTAGATTTTGTCAGTGAGGACCTCAACATCTTTCACAGCAGAGGATCCCACAGCATTTGTCAGCATAGACCTCAAGGGCCTGCTGTGCAGAAGATACTGGCAGCTTCCACCACTGAGGTAACCAACAGCCATTGCTGCTGTGGACCCCCCAGGGGAAGAGGTGATTGCTCCACCAAATGTGAAGACAGCAACTACCAGAAACTCAAAAAATCAAGGAAACGTGACATAACCAAAAGAACGCAATAATTTTCCAGTAACTGACCCCACAGAAATAGAGATCTATGAGTTGCCAAAGAAAATTATGAAAGAAAATACGTGGAAATATTTTAATGATTTTGATGTGGGGAAGTGTTTCTAAGCAACAAATGAAAACAGAAAATGTACAGTTGTGACTGTATAGAAATTTTAAACTTCTATAAAGCAAAGACTATTAATAAACTATAAATTGGTATCCTGGAAGAAACTATGTTATATGTGTAACAGACAAAAGATTATTGTCTATAATATAAAAAACACTACAAATGAATATTCAAATGGTCAAGAAGAAATACAAATAGAGAATAAACTTGGAAAGACGTAAAACTTCACTGGTAAAGACTTACAAGATAAAATGAGTCACTATTTTTTTTTTACGTATCAGAAAATGTTAAAAGTTTGATAACACTGGTGTTCACAGAGATACAGGGCAATGGACCCTCATCATTATAAGTTCTCAGTATTTATCAAATTATAAAAATTCATACCTTAAAATCCAGCAGTCCCATTTCAAATATTCTAAATACTAAAATAAGTATGCAAAGATACATGTATAAGGATGTTCATTACTCATAGCATTGGTTGTTATGACAAAAAAATAATCTAAACGTCCATTGATGTGGGAAAGGCTAAGTACTTGGTCATCACTCATGATGATGAACAATAAAACGTGGAGACCACTACAAAGTATGAGGAAGATCTAGGCACACACCCAAGACATACTGTTAAACAAAAATAACAAGTTACAGAATAATAATACTATGATTCCATTAAAAATATACATTTTATGTTTTTGTATGTGTTTTCTACAATGATACATACAAAGCCATTTACAATCAGCACCCTCTATTCTTGATATACTATTTTGTCAGAATGTATTACTATAAACATGTACTACCTATGTGATTTAAAGGACCCCTCTGCCCATACACACACACTCGGGGCTGTCACTTTCAGGTATTTAACTTCTAAGAAAGCCCTCCTTACTTTTGAGCTAAGTATCTTCCACTCATTGGCCCCCTCAAGTCTGTCCTCTTCCACATTATACCTTCTCAAATATTTGAAGACAGCTGCCACGTACCCCTCAAGCTTCTATTATCCAATTAAATATCCCAAGTCCCTTCATGCATTCCTTATGTGAATAGTTTTCAGCTTCTAAATATACTCTCTAGAATGTCAAGACACATTCCCCTTAGCTCCATCTAACCAGAAAAAAGTAGAGTCGGTCTATTACCTCCCTTAGTTTGGAAATGATTTCAACAGATAAGATTCTATCATTTCAAAGATTTCAATCATAAGATTCTAATTAGCTCTTCTGGCAACCATCCTGTTTATTGAAAATATAATCATAGGGTACAGAGTTCATGGAAATTCTCTGTACTATCTTCACAATTTCTCTAAATCTACAACTGCCCTAAAAAATAAATTTCATTAACTACAGCAAATCTTATGACATATCTACAAATATAAAATGTAATTTGAGTTAAGATTTTCCTCAGAAGGAGCTTTCTTCACAATTTACCCCCCATGTCCTGTAGCAATGTGTGATTTATTTGACTAATATTTTTCCTGTATATTTTTATGCCTTAATTATAGTGACTTTACTAAAACTACAAAAAATGTGATATGACAAATAGTTTTAACAATAAATGTAGCAAAAACTGTTTCATGAATATTCAGAAAAACAAAAAATTATGTTTTCTCTGAAAGTTAAAAAAAATAAGAATCACCAAAATAAAACTTTAGCTTATTTCTGTTTACTGACTTTAAATTCTAGTCATATATTAAAATTAAACTAAACCAATTTAAACTTTGAGTTAATTCACAAATATAAATATCTCCAAAACAAGTCCAGATACATAAAAGAGATCCATAAGAATGATACAGTCTTTTTTTTAAAGAAAACATCTAAGTTTGGTTCATGTCTCCCTTCTTAATCATAACGCTGAAGTTTAATGTACATTCATTTGAAAAATTGATATTACAGTAAGTTATTTAATAACTGAATATAGTATGATTTAAAAACAACTATGATATAATTACCTTAGATAAGTATTCGTAGATAAGACACACAAAATATCACGAAAAGCCTGTGAATAGAATCAAATCAATGAAACTTTTTAAAGGAATTATGTAACATTTAAAATGCCCTGATTCATTCACATAAACATCCCCACTAGAGAGAAGAGTTTTTATTGTTAAAGTGAGCCCTCAGGAAGATATGCAATTTGACTATCAGAAAACTAATTTGAACAGGAAAACACCTGGTATGGTGGTAACGCCATCATGTTATTGCTATCTGCTTAAAAGTATAAAATAAATACATACTGACTTAAGGCAAGTCAACTTGTAAAGAATATAAATAAAAATGGTTCAAGGGGAGGGAGGAGGGCAAAAGGGATGATTAGGCACATGTGTGTGGTGATGGATTGTAATTAGTATTTGGGTGGTGAACATGATGTAATCAATGCAGAAACAGAAAAAAAAAGAAGCGCTAAAAACGAAAGACCACTGTCTTTAACTAGGCTTTCAGATAAACCACTCTCAGACCAAGAAAATCTGCCAGTGGTATTTTAAACATTATTTCTTCTATTGTGATAATATTTTCCTCTGTTGTGAAAATAGTGAACACGTAGAGAATGATTTTTTTAAAATGGCTATGCAATTTCTCCTGTGTATGTCTCAAAATGGATCAAGACTTCTTTAAATGTGCTTTAGGGGCCGGCCCCATGGCGTAGCAGTTAAGTGCACCCACTCCGCTGCTGGCAGCCAGGGTTCGGATCCCGGGTGCACACCGATACACTGCTTGTCAAGCCATGCTGTGGCGGCGTCCCATAAAAAGTAGAGGAAGATGGGCACAGATGTTAGCCCAGGGCCAGTCTTCCTCAGCAAAAAGAGGAGGACTGGCATGGATGTTAGCTCAGGGCTGATCTTCCTCACAAAATAAAATAAAATAAATGTGCTTTATATTTGAAAGATACCAAAGTTGTCATTGTACTTTTCTTTCATAGCACCTATAACAATTGTAATTCTTTAACCATTTGTGTGATTATTTGCTTAACGTCCCCCCCATACCCAGACTATAGGAGCAGGCCTGTCTTATTTTCCCAGTGTACCCACAATGTTAACGTAGTTCTTGGTATATAGTGGGTAACTGATACATTTCTTTTGAAAAAATAAATAAGAATATCTTTTCTAATGTGGCTTTCTAAAAAAAAAAAACCCATATAATACTAGATAAAGAAACATCTAAATAAAAAACTTGTTAGGGAGGGGAAGAGTTCATCCTAAAAATAAGACAGAATTCTGAGCTATTAGCATTAATCTATTATAGTCCTTATCTTGAACCCAAAAGCAAGTGATAAAATTTTTTTAAAATACCTTTTTAAAGATAAAATAAGTAATCACCATAACAACTGGAAGCAATAATGTCTTTGTGTATCTCAGTGGAGTCTGAAATATAGCAAATTATTTAAAATAGTCAATTATTAAATTTTATAATAAATGAGTAAAAATCTATGTCAAATTGAATGTCATAATGAAATTTCTTAACGGTAAAAATGTCTTTGTCATTAACAGAATATCTATTTATCAACTTTCATGTTCTAATGTAAGAATCAAAATTAAAAAAAGTTACACAAATTTATCAAAAATTTTAATGATAAAAACTATTAAACAAAAAATCAGCTATGTCTATTATTTTTTGCCTTTCTTTTGGTATTTTTCTTCCTCGATTTACATAATATTAAGTTTTAAAATGCGTGTTTACTGAACCCTGGGCCCTACATTATCATTTCCTGGGCTGCAAAGTTCCAGTATTTTCATTTGTGAAACTAGAATTAACAAGGAAGAAAGCTAGCCTAAGTAATGAATAAGTACTGAAATAATATCAGCAGCTGAATAACTCTCAGGACTTATTATTGTGATAGGGAGTGATTCACCATGTAACTAAATTACATATTTCTTGAAGGCAGGAACCAAGTCATTTTCTTCTTTGTAGTCCTACAGCAAACTGCCTCACAGATAACTGGTGGTCAATAATACCTTTTGAATGTAAGTATGACTGGCTGGACAGATAAGAGAATAATGTATGATTAGTAGTATACCTTTCTTGGCAACGTCTTGTTAAAAAATTTCATAATATTTGGGGTATTAGATGAAATAAAACTGAACTTTTTTAAAAACGAAAACAAGAGTTTGGATTTATTTTTCCTGAGTGGTCCCATATCTCCAAGTGACCTAGATTATTAAAAGTAATTGAACTATAATAATAGTAATTCACTATGGCTCATATAGTATGTTAAGCACTCTCCCTGGATTATCTCATTTAACCATTATCAAAAATTCTTTAAGATAGGGGCCACTGTTTACTGATTTTACAAGTAAGAAAACAGGCGAGGAAGGCCATACGATTAGTAAAAGTTATAGTAAAAAATAATAAAGTTGGGTGTTTCTGAATAAAAATTTTGAGTTTCATATTAAAAGGAAAATGAAAGAGAAAAAGACCATCATACCTGTAGAGAAGGAAAAAACAAAGAAACATTCATACCGCTTTTTCCATGAAGTCAAATTCAGGAGCACAGGTGTAAATTAAGGTATGGAAATCTGTATACCTTAAGATTCTGGCTGCTATAAGGTCGCTCAGGCGAATCTGGAAGAAAATAAAGTAAAAGGAATTTTACACAAATAATTATATCAATAATAATTGATTTGATGTAATAGTAATAGAGTCTGCAGAACAGATAAATCCAAGGTACATGGATGTTTGTCAAAGAAAATAAAAAAAATACAGTGAACCATACTTGCTATTCACTGAATTATGAAGAAAACTGAAAACAAAGAGAAACATCAACAGAAATGAAAAGTACAAAGAGGTCAGAAAAAATAAGCAGAGAAGATGATAATGTAAAGAGCGAGCTAAAATCAACATTTGCTGGGCAGAAACCACCATGGAGTTAATCATGAGATTTTACAATCAGATCATTCATCAAGAAAAAAGCAATTTCATGTTAACCTTTTTCACCACACATTATAAGTCACAAACAAATTTTCTATGCATTGTCATTTTCACAAAGCCTCATATACTGATTGCCATTTTTGGTGCTTCTTGGATTTTTCAGACATACATCCAAGCCATTAAATATGAGAGCTATTCTTCATAAGAATTACGACAACTATATACTATATGACAACTACACTACTTTAATTCAGTTACTTGATCTGCAAGGCCTTTAAAATAAACATCACCAACCAAACCCAACATAGAACTCCTATTTTCTACTGATTATTTATTACTTACTGTTGGTGAGACAACTACTTTTTCACTGCATTCTTATAATGCAGTGAAAGCCAGAAAAAAGAAAATATTTGGTATGTAAAACCTTAATTCAAATTATTTTACAGGGACAGAAATGATTTTATATCAAGTGTGCTAACTGTCCATGGATTTCATTTATTCATGGTTCCCCTTATCTACCAGTGTCAAGGATAATTTAGAGTTGACTTTATTTTTCTAATTTAGGGTAGGCGGGTGACTAGTAATAATTTAACCAAACCACTTTAGTTTCAAGTCTTTCTCACAGCTGTCACATAAAGAAAGACACTTAAGAGTACCAAGGGCATGTGTGTGTTTAAGATTTGTAAAGAGCTGGGTGACAACGTGGAGCAAGGCAAGAAAGAAAATCACAGATCAACTTAATAGATAAATAAATAACTTAGGAGGCCTAAATAAAGTTTATCATAAAATGCATACCCTCTACAGAATAAAAAGTTAGGAACAATAAAAACGGAAAGAAAAAAAGAAAATGTGTCAGACATACCAGAAACAACAGCAAAAAATAAACCTAATAAACCACTATACAGAGCTGCAATAAATGGCAAATAAATCCCTAATTTGGAAATCTTATTTAACATGAACATGTACGCAAGCTCAATTGCATTGGATAGTGATAGCACTTAACCTTTTAGAGAATAAATACTATAATCCCTTGTTAAAGGTGAAGTAATTTCAGCTTTAGACAGGGTCCTAATTGGATAGTACTAGATAAGGTAAATTTCAGAGTAGATTATTGTATGATACACTCATGTATGCTCATATCCAAACAGAAAGTGTTAAACATCAAAAGTAAATTCATGCATTGTTTTCTATTCCCTAATTAGTTAACAGAGACCTATGCTTTGAAAAGGGCCATTCTGAAGGTATGAGCCTTAAAACAAAGAGAAACATCACACATGAGGGATAAGAGGTCCATATATTTCCTAGAAGATGAAAAGATAGAGAACTTTCAATGTTCTCTTTTTACATTATAAGAAAAGCTTTAAAAATATCAAATCACATCTTAATTTTAGTCCATAATAATAAATAAATAAAACTATATTGAGATTTTAAGAGTTCTATAATTCAAAGCTCAGTACAGACTGCTCATGTGTTAACATCTACAATAAACTTATTATTTAAACAAATGTTTATTTGTATTTTAAATGAAATATAAACAAATAACTACTTAACATATTATTAATTTTCTTCCTAGAAGGCTAAGTCAGCATTCACTGATACACCTTTTTCTTAGTGGGTTGGACAGATCATTGAACTGCAGGGTCTTAGTATTGACTTTGCCAACAACTAGCGTGGGGACCTTGAAGAAGGCACTTAACCTCTATAAAATGAAGAGGTAAAAACAGATGGTTTCAAAGTTTTCATCCAGCTATATATTTATAAGGAATTTTTCTATTAACTAGAAAGTACTTACATGGTCTGAAACACCTAAGATTTTAGATGTCAGAAATTTCAAAGTGATTGTCCCACACAACCAAGCACAACCTTGAATTAGCTAGAAAATAAATAAAATAAATAGAAGTCAGGTATTCAAAATTATAAATTACCCAGTGAAAATATTAAATTATACCAACAAATGGCACAGGAAAATTTTAATCATGTGAGGTGTATTAGTGAGGAGGTCTAAAAAAAGGATGTTCCTTTAGAAAATTTTCTTTAAACTCAAAGAATTGAAACTGATGGCACTGCTATAAAATACATAACAACACTAGAGTTTTACATATCCTAAATCTAAAGGAATTTTAAAGTTATTTCTTTTCAATTTCTGCAAAGAAAAGAAGGGGGTTATATGTTTGTTTCCAAATATTATTTTCTAGCTGAAAATCTTTTCTTTTTTTTTTTAGTAGGATTACATCATTAAAAATTCTTCCATCACTCTTTTGGAAATATAACTACATGAGTCCCTCTTCAAGAAAGGAAAACTTGAAATTTGAAAACTTAAGCTTTCATTTTTAAGAGAGAAAACTAAAATGTACAAGGGGGTTTCTGTTTGTTTTTTGTTTATGTTTTGGCTAGCCTTGATTAGAAAGAGCACAAAAATGGACTTCTGGGTAGCCTGAGGAAAATTATAGCAGCCTAAACCCAAACCTCTCCACACTATCCAAGAAGTAGAACAACGCAACCACACATACAGAAAACAGATAACAGTACAAACTTCACACTACCTGTAAATAGAAAGAAACAACAAATACAGCAAAGTTATATGTCAAGTTCCTGATCTAAGCCTTTTCAGAGAATAAGGGGAGTCTCAAAACTATATGGAAGAGGGAAGTGAGGCGTCCAAAACTGAACTAAAATAATCTAAGAAAGAGAAAGTTCACCTCAAGTATGAAAAGAGTCCTGGTAGAGTAAAGAATGGACTACAAAGCAGGAACTTAAAAGGATGAAGGATAAAAAATACTGATCTCAGAAAGGCAGTACATCTGGAAAGAGAGGAAGGAACAAGGCAAAGAGAGAAACCCTTTCAATAATGCATAGAGAACGAAATAAGGAGGAAAAATTTAGTATATAGAAAGATAAATGAGAACCAAACAAATCAAAAGATAAAATCACTGCTGCCATCGAAAGAAAGAAAGTTATTAATTGATAAAACCACATTTTGTTAACCTGACAAAAGAGGTTGCACTTGGACTAAAAAACACCAACTCTGTCCACAAAATATTTAGATGAAAGGATGCCTGTGTTATCTACATAAAGCTTCAATAAGAAGATAACAAAAATGAGAGTCAAATATTTCAGCTGATGATATCCTAATGAACAACAAAAATCTCACAAAGCAGAAGAAACTATAATGCAGAAATAAAAGCTTAATTAAGTATCCTCAAATAAGCATTCAGAGATATTTAAAAAAACTTAAATGAGAATTTCAAAAACTGAGAATAAAAATGGACAAAACTAGAAATAAATAGAGAGCTGATTAAACATAGAAAAGAAATGGAAGAAAAGGAGAAGATTAAAAAAATGAAGACAATTTCAAAGTAATTAAAGGAGAAAGGATTCAAATAAAACTTGAATAAGGGCATTGAAGTAAAGGCAGTAAAAAAAACCCCAAAAGAATGAAAATGAGATTAAAGGAGGAAGTAAAAGAATCAGAGAAAGTGGTAGAAACGGAAGACAGGCAACATACTTCTGATGGGAGTCTCTGAAAAAGAAAAAGCAAGCAACGAATCAGAAGTAGTATTTAAACTATAATCCAAGAAAACTTCCTGGAAATAAAAGACGACAATCTATATTTGAAAAGTACCCACTAGTTACTGGGAAAATTGATCTGGTATGGTAAAGTGCCTCAAGACATATTCTAGTAAAACTATTAAAAATGAAGAACAACTCCTCAGAACCTCCAGGTACAAAGACCACATAACTCATAAGGGCAAGAGAATTTGGCTAACACCAGACTACCAAAAGAAACACACAAAGCAAGACAGCAAGGCAGAAGCATTTTCAGAAAACTCAAGAAAGCAGGAAGCAAGGACTTTATATCTAGCCAATCTGTCATTCAGGCATAAAGATTACAGAAAAACAGTTTCAAGCATGCGATAACTGAGGAAACAACCTTCCTGAATATAAAAAGAAAGTTAAAAATGAAAGAGAATCATGTAATGAAATATGTAGACAAACAATAAATATAATAAAAATATATGCAACATTTATAACATAAATAAAAATCTTCAAATTACTTCACAAAGCAAGACCTGACCTATGCTGTGTGGAGACGACATATTAAAACAGACTCAGGGGAAAAATAAAACAGTGGCAAAAGTGTACCAAAGCAAATAAGAAATTATAGGTTATAATCTTAATATCATTAAAAGTTTTCCACCAAAAAGCATTAGATATAAAAAATATTTTAACACTAAAAGACATAATTCATGATGAGGCTATAAGAAGTATGAATATCTATGCACCGCAACCACCTTTTATATAGCAGAAGTTACTAGAAATACAAGGAGAAATAGAAACACACTAATAATAGAAGGCAAACACTTTTTCAATACAAGATAGGCCAGGGGGCAAATAAGACATAAAGATATAAAAGACAAAAATGATGTTAACAAGTAAATCTCATGGATAAATATATAAAACTTGGCATCCTGATAACAAACGATACACCTTCATCTCAAGCACACATGAACTATTCACACAAAAAATGATCACCTATTAGGTCAGAGAGAAAGCATCCAATAGCTACATAAAACAAAAATATTACAAACCACCCTCTGTAATCATGATGTAATAAAACTAAAATAACAAAGTCAAATCAAAAGGCCCTTTCTCCTGGAAATTAACAAAGCTTCTATTAAACAAGTCTTAAGTGAAAGGGAAACACAAACAAACAGTTTTTTAAAAATATGATAATGAAAACTACCTATTAGAAACTCAGGGAGACATGTAAAGCAACGATCAGAAGAAAATCCATGGTCTCAAAAACTCATATCAATAAAAATGAGAGTAAAAATAAATACATTAAAACCTTGACTCAAATATCTAGATAAAGAACAACAAAATAAACTGAAAGGAAATACTCAAGAGAATAGTCTTTTATATTTACCCCTATGTGTATCAATTTTGTTGTTCTTTATTTCTTTCTGATGTTCTAAGATTCCTTCTCTCATCATTTACTTTCTGCTTCAAGAACTTCCATTAACCATTCTTTAAGGGTTGCTCTGCTAGCAACAAATTCTCTTAGTTTTCCTTCATCTGAGAATGTCTTTTATTTCTCCTTCATTCCTAAAAGAGACTTTGACTGAATAAGCAATTTGTGGTTGACAATTCTTTCAGCGCTTGTCAAATGTTGTGCCACCTCCTTCTGGCCCCCATAATTTCAGATGAGAAGTCTGCTGTAATTCAATCAGTTTTGTCCCTTAGGTAATGTGTCATTTCTCTCTGCCTGCTTTCAAGATTTTTTCTTTGTCTTTAGTTTCCAGAAGTTTAATTATGATGTGTCTTGGCATGGATTTTGTTGGGTTTATCCTACTTGGGATTCACTTAGTCTCTTGACTCTGTAGATTTATGTCTTTTACCAAATTTGGGAAGTTTTCAGCCATTACTTCAAATACTTTTCCAGCCCCACTCTCTTTTTACTCTCCTTGTGGAACTTCGATGATACAAATATTAGATCTTTTGTCCTTAAACCTCTATCATTTTTTCCAGTCTATTTTTCCTTTGTTTTTTAGATTGGGTAATTTCTATTATTCTATCTTCAAGTGCACTGATTGCTTCCTCTATTATATTCATTCTGCTATGAAGCTTATTCACTGAGTTTTTTATTTCAGTTATTGTATTTTTCAGTTCCATAATTTCCAAGTTGTCCTTTTTTTTAAAAAAAAAATTTCTATTTCTTTGGTGAGATTTTCTATTTTTTTGTTTGCTTCTAGAGTATTTATAATTGCTCACTGAAGTATTTTTATGATGACTGCTCTAAAATTCTCGCCCAATAATCACAACATCCTATTCATCTCAGTGTTGACATCTACTTATTGCCTTTTCTCATTCAAGTTGTGATTTTTCTTATCCTTACTATGATAAATGGTTTTTTATTGTATCCTGGATGTTTTGGATATTATGTTGGAGACTGTGGATCTTACTTAAACATTCTATTTTAGCAGTCACCTCGTTTAGGGTTAGCATGCAAGCCCTGGCCTACTTTCGTGTATTATAGGGGCAATGACAATTTACATTTCAGAGCCTCTGCAGTGCTATTCTGGTCAGCTTAATTCACGTGGTGCTCCTGGTGCTCCATCTTATTAGTCCCTACTCGTGCTGTCCACCAGGGAAGAATGTGCTTACCCTGAGTCCTGTTGCTACTAGGTGAAGGGAGGGAGACACCAAGCTTGTGGGGGGCAGAAAGCTCTTTCCTGGCCTAGTGTTAGTAGGGCTCCTATTTGATCCCTACTGGTGCTACCTGAGTGGGAAGCCAGGCCTGTTGATGCCAGGTGCAGGACAGTAGATTCCAGACCTGTAGGATGGAGAGCATTTCCCTGGTCCCACTCTCCAAGTCCCTCCTTCCCTCTGTTGCACCCCCCAGTGCTGAAAGGGTTTCTGCTGAATCTTTGCCAGAGCCCCAGGGGAGAAAAAAGCATCTACCTAGGCAGATTTCTACCACTGGGTAGAAGGCTAGGACATGATAAGCCTTCTTCCACTGGGTGGAGTTTCAGGAGAAAGCAGCCTATTGTGTTTGAGTCCTAGCCAGTCTAGCTAGTGCCTAGCCAGTCTGTCTTCCTACAGCACCAGACTGGAATTGGAGGTATAGTTATGAAATCATGATTTCATACATATACATACACACACACACGAGTTCACACACACACACATACATGCAATAAAAGGGTCTAGAAGCAAGGACACACTGGCGGCAATGAGAACACTTAGCACTCAGATCTTGGTTTCTAAATACCATTGTACACTAAAAGGAACTAGGGATCCTTGGGAAGATGGTTGATTCTAGAGTTGGGGCAAGGAAAATACAAGATGAGCCTGGAGCAACTTGTTGAACCAGAATGTAAGGAAGTACACAAAGAATTGTGAAGACAGATCAAAAGGGGAAAGGACAAAGCTTGAAAAGATTCACAATGCCCAAATCTGAAACTGATATTTGTGTATGATGTGAGTTTTCCCGCATACATAAATTATTCCAGCATCATTCACTGAAAAGTGACCTGCAAGGTAATCTTGATGGAATTGCTTTGAATCTAAACATGAATTGGGAAGAACTAACATCATACAGTCTTCCCATGCATAAACATATTTTTCCATTTATTTGGATATTATGTCTTAATTTTAAAATAATTTTTATCATACAAATATTGTATGTATTTTGTTAGATTTACTCAGAGACTATAGTAGTCTCTTTTCTTCCTAATATATTTTTTCTTCCTAATATATTTTTAAAAATATGTTTTGTTTGCTGTCAGAGAATAGAATGCAACTGACTTTTGAATATTAATCTCATATCTAGCCATGTTATTGAATTTATAATTTCTAATAATTTGTCTGAAAATTATTTTTTTCTATGTAAATAATGATATTATAACAAATTTTTATTTTTCCTTTCCATTTCCTTCCTATTCCTGTTATTTACTTTCTTGCTTTAATGTGCTAGCTTGGACCTTTAATAAAATGTGAAAAAAATATTTATATTAGTCTTTATTTTAAATGGAACACACCAAATACCTCATTTGTAAAAACAATGATTGATGAAGAATTTTATTGGGTTAAGAAAACTTTGCTATTTCCACTGTGCTAAGAGTTTTTATCATAAATGGGTGTTCAATTTTATCAAATTCACTTTCTGCATCTAATGGGATGATTGTAAGGCATTTTTCTCCTTTAATCTGTCAGTGTGATAATTTACATTTATGGATTTTCCAGAAACATCTTTGTACTCCTCGGATTAACCCAATTTGATCAGAATTGATTATCTTTTATATATATATGGCTGTTTTTGAGTTGCTTATCTTTTCTTTTGTATTTTTATATCCATGGAGTGTTTTTAATTTAGGTGGAACTTTAAATCTATGTTTACGAGTAAGAATAGCCTTTCTCGTGCTGTCCTTGCCTGACCTTAGCATCAAGCTTTAGATTACCAATGAGGTTCTATTTCCCTTCTTGTAAGGATTCTCATCTCTTATGACACACACAGAGTTCCCCTGGGTGTTTCTGAGTAAATTTCAGCATGAGCTCAGTTCAATAATTACCTTGCAACCAAAAACTGGAGTCTCCCATTAAGCACTGAATTTCCTCCTACTGAAGAAAACTATAAAGTGAATCACTTAGGTCTGAAAGTACCTTGTTCAGGCTTTAGGTTATAAATACTTATCTTCGCTAAAGACATATAGAAGCTAAAAAATAGAGGAGACTTAATACCTAAGAAGGCAAAAAAAAAAAAAAAAGAATCTTTCCCTCAATTTGCCACATGAAGGTAAAGAATATTAAAATTAGATTTCAATCCATCATTAGTGACTTTTTACTGTTATTCAATGTGAAAATATAATAACTTCTTTAATTTCAAATTTTCAAATTATGACAGAGTAAGATATGCTATATAATCTTTATTCCACAGGCATGAAAGAATTAGTTGGAGTAATAAAACAGGTTTTTTGGTAAGAAAAAGTATCAGTTCACAAAAATATCTTTGCTTCTCCTTTTTGACTATCTTCTATTAAAAAAAAAAAGCTATAAAAAGCCAGAATATCTTTGCATTGTTTGTTTAGATGACTATCATGATTTGTTTCTCCCTTTTGCAAGAGATTGACAATATCAATTATATCAGTTTCAAAACACAAATATTAGCTGAACATTCATTATATGTCAACTTTTTCTCCTTACATGTTCGTTTCTTTAAACTTCTTAAGCTGAAAGCTTAATTTTTACTCTTTCCAATCTAAAACTGAAAATATTTAAGACAATAAATTTTCCTCTGAGCACAGCTTTGGCAGAATTCCTGAAATGTCCACAGACACTGTTTTATTTGTTGTCATTTTTCAATAGTTTGTAATTGAAATTTGACTTTCTTTTGTGAATTTTCTATTGTTTTCTTCGTTTAATCTTGAAAAAAAAAAAAAACAACCAATGCCAATTTTTCTGAAGTAAAAAAAAATCATATACTAGAAGGTTCGGGTCATCCAAAAACTTAAGTGCACAAATATTTCTACATTTTCACCATAAAGGATGGGGGAATGCCTCCAGCAATGAGAAACTGGTGACTCAATCCATTTTGTTCTTTTGTATTCTGAGTAGAAATCTACCTTCTCATCTTACGATAACTATTCCAGGTTTACCCTATCAATATATAATATGTATTCACATAGTTCTTCAATGTGGCAGGTTTTATTTTTTAGTAGTAGTACATCAAAGACCCAGAGAAAAAGAATGAATGTCATCTGTCTGATACTACAAGAATTAGTAATTACAGTGCCTACCTAATAAATACATTTTACTTGCAAACAAAACACACAAACACAGAGAGAACATGGGCCACCCATTTGTATATTTGGGAAGAAGTCAAACAAAGATTAGGTAGTGGCTGAGTTGAAATAAGAAGGGGCTGGGAGATTTTAAGGAAAATGTCAAAAGGACAAAAATAATAGTCTAAAGTTGGAAGCAGAAGGAAGGATAGGGGAGGGACAGATGTAGCAAAAAGAAAAAGGGAAGGTGGGGACAGAAGTACAAATTGAGTTATTTTGAAGCGAAGGTTAGTAAATCTAAAGAGAGAAACCCAAGGCAAATAGAAAGAAATTTAAAAAGCAAGGTAGTAGGAGTATATCAGAATAAAAAGTAAAGGAAGAAAGGCCTGAGGATAGTGCTGAAATCAATGAATTAATTTCTTGAAAATGACCTGTAGATGTTGCTAAAGACAATTTCCCACTTTATGCAAGTACCTATTTATAAGATTTATTAATTATAAATCATTCAAATTTTTAAGTATATTATCTGTATTGTTTATAGAAATAAAAAGTTTGAGAAAATTGTGTTAAAAATTTTGAACCTTACCCAAAAGTTGAGTTCAGACACTCCCAATCTTTGAATTTTATTTCTCTTTAGAATTATCACCTGAAATGCATTTGATATAAAAGGAAAGAATTAAATAAAACTAATATTTATATTTTATATGAATGATACATTTCAAAAATTGCACAGCCACCCCCTTCCATTTTGGCTCTCATTAGCCATTTTCCTTCTTCTTTTTTTTTTTTTTGGTGAGGAAGATTAACCCTGAACTAACATCTGTGCCTATCTTCCTCTATTTTGTATGTGGGATGCCGTCAGAAGATGTCTTGAAAAGCGGTGCATAGGTCTGTGCCTGGGATCAAACCTGAGAACCCCGGGCCACTGAAGTGGAGCGTGGGAACTTAACCACTATGCCACTGGGCCATTTTCCTTCTTAATTGTTGATTTTTCAAAATTTGGACATGGCAAATTTCCTTGGACAAGGCAAAATTCCCAAATGTTTTGTGTGCCAAAAAGTTGCCTCTAGAATCAAGCTAATTTCTGAGTTACTTGGGACATTTTAGGCAGAACAAATCCTTTGAGGAGGTAGACGGTGTGTGGAAGGTGTGTCTGTGTCAGTGTATATGTATAAGTTATCCAGAAAAATTAGTGGGCTAAATTAACATGAAAATTCTTCCTCTTCAAACTCCAAATAAAATATTTTAAAATCTTTAAAAATGCATAACTGAACTTATTAAGAAAGAAAAGGAACTTTTCAGGTGCCAGAGAAAAGAAGGTGATTTAAAAAACTAAAACATTAATTAAGAGAGAACCTATGGCAGTCTTTGTTTATTCCCAAGTTTGGGGTGGAAAAAAAAAAGGTTTCCCATGAGAAACTGAAATCTGAGGCCTATGTATTATTTAGATTTGGAATATTTTGCACCATCTAGTTAGACCACCGTAAGCCAGGATTCCTGAACTTCCAACAGGAAAATATAAATGTACCAGATTATACATTGCAACATTATTTGTAAACATAAAATATAGGAAACAACCTAAATGCCCAGACATAGGACAGTGGTTGAATTATCAATGGAACATGCACAGTGGAGTACTATAAAACTATAAAAAAGAATAAGGAAGATCTCTACGAACTGATATGGAGTGATATTCAGGAGAGGCTGAAAAATCAAAGTACAAAAGACTATCTATAGTAGGCTACCCTTTAAGTAAGTAAGAGGGGCTATAATAAAATATATATGTAATATTTATTAGTACAAAAAAGAAAAAACAACTAAATGGGTAAACCAGAAAACCAACGAGATATTTTACAAGAAAGAGTTAGGACCAAAGTGAAAAGAAAGGTGGAGAGAATGAGGTGGAAGGAATGAGGAGTGACATTTTCTGAGTATAACTTTTTGTATATTTCTTATTCTTAGAAACATGGTAATATTTCACCCCCAAAATAAAGTAACTAAAATCAATCAGGATGGAACTTCTGCTTCTGATCAAGTTGATATAAGAGGAATCACATTTACTCTCTCATCTGAAACAACTAAACCCAAGCAAAGTAGATAATAAGAGACTACTATGAACAATTAGACGCCAACAAATTGGATAACCTAGAAGAAATGGATACATTTCTAGAAGCATACAATTTACCAAGACAGAATCACGAAGAAACAGAAACTCTGAACACACCTATAACTAGCAAGGAGATTGAATCAGTAATCAAAACCATCCTAACAAAGAAAAGACAAGGACCTGATAGCTTTGCTGGTGAATTCTACCAAACATTTAAAGAAGAATTAGAGTAATCCTTCTCAAACTCTTCCAAAAAAGTGAAGAGGAAGGAAGACTTCCAAACATATTTTATGAGGCCAGCATGACCCTGACACAAAGCCAGACTAGGACACTATAAGAAAACTAAACTCTAGACCAACATCCCTGATGAACACAGATGCAAAAATTCTCAACAAAATACTAGTAAACTGAATTTGACAGCACATTAAAAGGATCATACTCTATGATCAAGTGAGATTTATTTTCGCAATGCTAGGATGGTTCAACATATGCAAATCAATTAATGTGATACACTACACTAACAGAATAAGGGATAAAAATCACATGATCATCTCAATAGATGCAGAAAAGCATCTGATAAAATTCAACTCCTTCTCATGATAAAAACTCTCAACAAACTAGGAATAGAGGAAATTACCTCAACACAATAAAGGTCATATTTGAAAATCCCACAGCTAACATCATACCCACTGGTGAAAAACTGAAAGCTTTTCCTCTAAGATTAGGAATAAGGCAAGGAGGCCAATTCTCATCATTTCTATTCAGCGTGGTACTACAAGTCCTAGCTAGGGCAATTAAGCAAGAAAAAGAAATAATAGGTATAAAAATTGGAGAGGAAGATATAACATTATCTCTGTTTGCAGATGACATGATCTTACACACAGAAAACACTAAAGATTCCATACACACACACAAAACTGTTAGAACTAATAAACAAATTTTGCAAAGTATCAGACACAAAAATCAACATACAGAAGTATGTCACATTTCTATACACTAACAGTGAACTATCTGAAAAGGAAATTAGAAAAGAATCCCATTTACAATAGCCTCAAAAAGAATAAAATATTAAGAATAAACTTAATCAAAGAGTTGAAAGACTTATACACTAAACACTACAAAAACTTTCTGAAAGAAATTAAAGAAGACACAAATGGAAAGACAGTATTTGTCTTTCTCTATCTGACTTGCTTCACATAGCATAATGCCCTCAAGGTCCATCCATGTTGTCAAAATGGCAGGAAAACCTTATATATTCACCTTTAGCTACCATTTCTAGTGCCTTTCATTTGTGTAGAGCCACAGTGACATCTAATATTATATTCCTTCCTTCTGAAGGACCTCCTTTAACATTTGTTTTAGTGCAAATCTGCTGGTCATGAAGCCTTTATTTTGCTTTCATTTTTGAAAGATATGCTGGCTATGTATAGAATTAGATTGACAGTATTTTTTCTTTAAGTATTTTAAAGATGTTGTTTGTCTTGTTGCTTGCATTTTTTCCTTATGAAAAATCTGTTGACATTCTTACCCTTTGTTCTATATTTAACATGTCTTATTTCTCTGGCTATTCTTAAGGTTTTCTATTTATCACTGATTTTGAGCAATTTGATTATAATGTACCTAAATATATCTTTCTTTATGTTTCTTGTATTTGGGATTTATTTAAATTCTTCATCTCTGAATTTATAATTCTGAACAAATTTGGAAAATTTTGGGTCATTAATTCTTCAAATATTTTTCCACTTCCTCCCAACTCCCCTCATTGAGACATGTACTTTACTTTTCCTATATGAACTGTAAATGGAGGATTGGAATATCACCCTTCTGCAATCCCTATTGAATGAATGGATTTGGTACCAAGCATTGACCGCTGCTATCATAAAAAGAGAGGCATCAAACATTATGTGCCTCCTGAAGAAAATACAATACTATAGACTTGCCAAAGGGATCAAAAGTGAACCTGTCCAAGTTTTAGATCCAATGACTATATATTATAAATACAGAAGGCAAAGCAAAATGTAAAGCTACACTATGAGGATTCAAAGAGCAAAATCTAGACCACAGAACCCTCCATATGTTCAACGACCCATGTTCTTCAACAAATAAATTTCTTGGGAAAAAACCAGGGAGGTATATGGGAAACCTGTAGATAAAAATAGAAACTTAAGTGATGAAACTATAAAGGAAAGCTAGGAAGTGATTACCATATTCAATGTAGGCATTGCTGTTTTAGAGCACTGCAAGGGAGTTATAATTGGGGCAGGTCACATCGAGGGCTTCTAGAATGGTTGGAAAAGTTCTGATTTTGACTTGATGGTAGTGTAAAGATGTTTGCCAAATAACAGTTCATTAATCAGTACTACTCAGTACTAGTTAGCACTAGGTCAGTACATAAAACATTTGTTTTATGCAGTTTTGTGTATCTGTGCTATATTCCAACATAAAAAAAAGTTGTCACAGAAAGAGGTGGATGAGCACACTGTTACAAGTCCTCTACTTTGTAATGCTGAAAAAGTTTGACAAAATGTTGAAAAGAAAGAATGTATGTTTTTTGGGAGAGAGAAAGAAGAGGGATTACTTACTACGATTAACAAAAAGGCATGGGGAGCAAAAATGTTAAAACATAAAGGCAATCCCCAAAGATTCAATCAATGAACCATACATGGAAAAGTGCTGTATTTTGGTATTACTGCGGTTGGTATCATTTATGATCACTGTGGAAAGAGAACATCCCAGGAACATTCCAGGTCTGGCTTATAAATACCAGAAGTGTGACTATAAAGTAATAAAACTGATTTACTGAACTGTTGTTCCAAATACATATCCAAATGAGTATTATCTATGAAAGTAAGTCACATGAGACTATACACTTATTCTAATTATGTTGCCATTGCTCAAAACATTCCTCTTTCTAACGTGCCTTCAGAGATAATTCAGCTATGGGTGTAAGAAAATCAGTCTTATTACTTTACTGTTATCTCATATTTTTTTATTATTATTATTTCTTTTGATGAGGAAGATTAGTCCTGAGCTACCTCCGTTGCCAAGCCTCCTCTTTTTGCTAAGGAAGATTGGCCCTGGGCTAACATCTGTGCCCATCTTCCTCTCCTTTATATGTGGGATGCCTGCCACAGCATGGCTTGACAAGTGGTGCATAGGTCCACACCTGGGATCCGAACCTGTGAACCCCAGGCTGCCAAAGTGGAGTGCGTGAACTTAACCACTAAACCACTGGGCTGGCCCCTTTACTGTTACCCCATATTTTGATTAAGATCTCTATTACCCAGCCCAATCACCTATTTATTCACAGGACTTTGTTGGTTTTCAAAATTCAAACCCACCCTTGAAAGACAAAGATTTGTCACTTTTGAGGATATTCAAAGAATGTGCCACAGTCTGTGAAGGCAATTCAGAGGAGTTCCAAAAATGTTTGGGGCAATGGCAGTGTCACTGCAGTAAGTATTTAGCCTACTGAAGTGACTTAGAAGGAAATAATTAATTTTTATCATAAATTATGGCATATTTTAAAAGTAAGTCTCATTACTTTACGATTGCTTTTTTAAATATTTACTTGGGCATTGCTTCAAAAAGGTAAACTTTGTACTATATTATTTTTCAAGGATGAGATAGAAAAAAAGTGTTATTTGGGTAAAACCTTTTCATGTGAGTGATAACCAGGAAAGGGCCCTATTCATTCCCCTAGACCTATATTAGGTGGGTAAATCTGCTATTTGACAGGTAAAGAAAAAATTCTTGGGCTGGCCCAGTGGCGTAGCTGTTAAGTTCATGCACTCCGCTTTGGCATATACAATGTCCGCATATAAAAACGTAAAAATATATGTTTTTATAACATATAAAAACGTTCGCAGGTTGGGATCCGGGCGCAGACCGATGCACCACTTATTAAGCCATGCTGCAGCGGCGTCCCATATAAAGTAGAGGAAGATGGGCACAAATGTTAGCCCAGGGCCAATTTTCCTCAGCAAAAAGAGGAGGATTGGCAATGGCTGTTAGCTCAGGGCTAATCTTCCTCACACACACACACACAAAATCTTCATAAGCTTAGCAAACACTTACCCATGTCATTAACAAAGATGAAGAATAGTAAGAAGATAAATACATTGGATTTCCAAACATCAACACAAAACAAAGGAGAACCGAAATCTGAAAATTGAATAAAAGAATGTTTTATAGTTATTAGATAGATAATATAATGTATACTTAGTCTACAGGCATATAGCCATTTCTAATACAAACTTTATTTGTATAAATAAGACTAAAAAATAGATCTTGGACAAATGATAATAGAATTTCAACACACCGATAGGTTCTAAGTATTTTCAACACCATAAATTCTATACAGCAGGATTTAATTTTTTTTTTCTCTTCATTTTTTTCTCTATCTGCTACTTGTTAGAAAGAAAACAGGAAAAAAAACCTATTGTTTCAATAATGGAGTGATATAATAAGAAAGACTTAGTTACAAGTATTAGATTTTCAATCTTACGTTTGTTGGACTATTTGAGAGTTTCCATCACTAATAAAGTTCTATTTTACGTTCTTATCTAAAAGATATTTATTTTTATGTTCTTAAAGGAGATGCGTTTGGAAACTAAGATAAAAACAAAAAATGCAAAAACATAAAATTCGCAGCCTCATATACATGCAAAGTGTTAAAAATCTCAGGTCTAAGGGAGAAAAGGCAGTTTAAAAAGTAGTGACAATAATAATAAATAAAACATAAAATTTTTAAAAAGTTTCAGAGATTGCAAAACATCTACAGTCTAGTTGAGAAAGTATAACCTTCTATAATATGGTATCTATAATGTACATTTCCCATTTTCCTTCTGGATATTATTGACATCATACGCATTAAATACTACTTGAGAGAAGGTACCCCTAAAACAGAATAAGTTCTGTTTTATAAACTCTGAGATTTTATTTTAATATTTGACTTATAAATATTAAAAATGTTACCATGTTCATATAAATGATCTTCTGAAATTTGTTTGGCTCAATGTACCCCACAACATACATGGGAAATAATGAGGCTATCTGAAATAAAAATATAAAAAAAAGCAAAAGTGAAAAAAAATGTAGAAAACAAACACTTCGCTATTCATAAGCCAAGTAAACATGAGAGGAGAGTTTTATTTCCAATAATGATAGTCAAAGTAATTTGAACCAACCTTCTCACTGAGAACTAGAATAGCTAGGAAAAATATAAAAATCACCTGTATGAAAGCCACAGATTACTAACAAGGCAAAAAAGGATTAGGAAACTAAGACCAGAGAAAAGATGGAAATCTACAGTGACGAGCATGACATTTTGGGTCACTTTTGTCCCAGAGGCACCTGCCAATTTCAATAGAAGTAGATGCCTGCCAGCTGAGAGATTCCACAGACTCAGCAGTCAGGGCGCACCAAGAACGGGATCCCTACTAAGTCCCCAGACTTTACTTTGGGGCTTCAAAAGCCTATACTAGAAAAGAGAACCAGAAATCAAGCAACCCTCAGAAAGACTGAAGCCCACCTTTGAATTACCTCATTCTCTAATTGCATGAAAATGATTCAAGATTTTTAGTGCCTTTATTTGCCTGCTGGAAGCAAATTTAATCTTCTTTGGAAGAAGTTAATATTAACCTAGTCTCAAATTAACTCTATTACTGTTCATGTACAATGTCAAAAAGACCATCAAAACTAACCAGATACAGGAGGAGATAAGACATTATCTCTAAGACAACAGAAACAGATCCATAAAGAATCTAGTTCAGGGTCAGCAAAATTTTTATGTAAACAAGTCAGATAGTAAATACGTTACGCTTTGTGGGCCACATACAATCTCTGGTTGTATATTCTTCTTCTAACTTTTTTCTAAACAACACTTTAAAAATGTAAAAACCACTCAGCTTGCAAACCATGCAAAAACATGTCTTGCATCGTCAGACACAGACTTTACGTTTGACATGTGCAAGGAAATAGACAGGCTTGAAAATTCCAGGAGAGTACTGGAAACCATAAAAAAAGAACCAAATTTAAAATGTACAGCTAAATATTAATTAATTAAATAATCAATATTAAGAAATCAAAGATGGGTTTAAAAGCAGGTTTAACACAGCCAAACAAAAAAGGGATAAACTGAAGATAGGTCAGAAGAAAATATCTAGAAGAAAGCATAAAATGACAAAGGGATGAAAAATATATGAAAGAACATAAAAGATGTAGATCATATAATATAAAGACCTAATACACTATACTTTACATCTCAGAAAGGGATGAGGGAATTAAGTAAAAGCTATATTTAAAGAGATTATACCTGAAAAGTTCCCAAAATTTATGGAAGAAATCAAGCACTGATTCATAAAGTATTACAAACCCCCAACAAGGGATAAATTAAAACAAATGAAACCTGACCACACTTACAAATATCATAATAAAAACTGCTCAAAACCAAAGGCAAGGAGAAAACTCTTCAACAGATCTGGAAACTAACTGACTTGAAGATTCACTATAAAGCTGCAGTAATCAAGACGGCACGGTATTGGAGAAAGAACAGACAAACTGATCAATGGAATAAAATACAGATCCTAGAAAGAAATCCACACAATTATAGGCAACTGAGCTCTGACAAAGGAGCAAAGGTAATTCAATGGAGGAATGACAGTCCTTTCAACAAATGGTGCTGGAAGACTTGGTGGACATCTATGCACAAAAAGTGAATCTAGACCTAGACCTTATACCTTTCAAAAAAATTAACTCAAAATGGATCTTAGACCTAAATGTAAAATGCAAGCTATAAAAATTCTAAGAGATCACATAGGAGAAAATATAGGTGACCCTGTTTGAGGATGAGTTTTTAGATATGACACCAAAAACATGATCCATGAAAGAAAAAAAACTGATAAACTGGACTTCCTTATAATTAAAAACCTCAGGTCTGCAAAAGACATTATAAAGAAAACTAAAAGACATGCCAGAGACTGTGAGAAAAATCTTTGCAAAACCTATATCAGATAAAGGTCTGGTATGCAAAATACACTAAGAACTTTTAAAATTCAGAAATAAGAAAACAAATAATCCAATTTAAAACTGGGAAAAAGATCTGAATACTTTACCAAAGAAGATATACAGATGGCAAATAAGCACATGTAAAGATGCTAAACATAATACTCCATTAGGGAATCGTAAATTAAAACAATGAGATACTGTTACACACCTATCAGAGTGGCTAAAATCCAAAAACCTGATAAAATTGGCAATTTCTTACAAAAATAAACATAGTCTTACCATACAGTCCACCAATCACACTCCTGTGTATTTACCCAACTGAGTTGAAATCTTATGTCCACTCAAAACTGCACACGAATGTTTACAGAATCACCAAAGACTGGAAACAACCATAATGTCCTTCCAGAGGTGAATGGATAAACAAACTGTGTGGTACATTCATACAGTGGACTATTATTCAGCAATAAAAAGAAATGAGCTACCAACTCATAAAAAGACATGGAAGAACTTTAAATGCATATTGCTAAGTGAAAGAAGCCAGTCTGAAAAGGTTGACATGGTCTGTGATTCCAACTGTATGATATTTTATTTTGGTTGTATTTTACTACATTAAAGATTGCAGAGCTCTACTGTGCATTACAGTATTACTATTTCTTGTACTTTAGAGGACTATATTCACAATAATTATTATGACTGGGCCCAGAAATTCTTTTGTGAGGGCCTTTGAAAAGCCCCATGCAATTTAACATTTAGTAGTAACCAGATTATGAGTTCACTATATAATTTCAAAAAATTTATAAATACAAAAGCAATGAATAATTCATTCAAGAATCCGAAAGAGATGTTTGATTTAAAGTGGTACCGGTCGAAGATGGTAACACTTTCAAGTAATAACCAAGTTACCTGAATGTTGTTTCCCAGAACTTGGCTTATAACTTAGTTGCTTGGAGCTTAAAATACGGTTTTCTTAGAAACAATGCTATAAATTCAAGTCCATTCAATGGATACTAGAATGCCAATGTTATCTCCATCCTAAAAGAACTTACTTGCCGGTGGTGTGGAAAAAAGGCAAGGACACAGCTGCTCGGCAAACCTCCTTTCAACACATTCTCACGCGTCTCATAAAGCAAGCTCAAGCATGGCAGAAAGCCAGCCTCAAATCTCAGAGCCAAAGAATGCACGAATTGTTACAAGTTTATTCTACAGATCAACTACCCAGAATTTGGGAGTTTTACGCTAACACCTTACTCTCAAACCCCTTGTCATTTCTTCTTCTCGCAGCATAAATACCTCACTACCCACCTCCTTCCAAAAAATGGATGGGGCGGGTATAAAGCGGTTCCAACTGATGCTACAGCTAACAGATAATCAGAACTTGACTGGAGTTAAGAACTTTATCCCTTTTATTAAGCTTAGACTCTCTACCAAGGGCTCCCCTATTACTTTTTTTCCAGCTTTATTGAGATATAATTGATTTATAACAGTGTTGATTTGATACCCCTATATATTGCAATATGATTACCACCGCAGTGTTAGCTAACACCTCCGTCATGTCACATAATTACCATTTCATTTTTGTGAGGAGAACATTTACGATCTACTCTCCTAGCAAATTTCAAGTATATGAAACAATATTGTCAGCTATAATCACTTTACTGTGCATTAAATCCCCAGAACTTACTCATCTTCTAGTTACAAATTTGTACTCTTTGACTAATATCTCCCTATTTCTCCTACACCCCAGGCCATGGGAACTATCATTCAACTTTCTGTTTCTTTGAGTTTGGCTTTTTTAGATTCCACATATAAGTGATATCATACAGTATTTGTCTTTCTCTGTTTGACTTATTTCACTTAGCATAATGCCCTCAAGGTCCATCTATGTTGTCACCAATGGCAGATTTCCCTCTTTCTGCTCGCTGAATAATATTCCATTGTAAATACATACCATCTTCTTTATCCATTCATCTGTTGACAGACACTTAGGTTGTTTCCATATCTTGGCTATTGTGAATAATGCTGCAATAAACATAGAAATGCAGATATGTCTTGGATATTCTGTTTTCATTTCCTTTGGATAAAATACCCAGAAGTGGGATTGCTGGATCATATGGTAGTTCTATTTTTAATTTTCTGAGGAACCTCCATACTGTTTTCCATAGTGGCTGCGCCAATTTATACTTCCACCAACAGCGTACAAGGGTTCCCTTTCCTCCACATCCTCAGTAACCCTTGTTATCTCTTGTCTTTTTTTTTTTTAATGTTTATTTTTTTGGTGAGGAAGATTCGCCCTGAGCCAGCATGTGCTGCCAATCCTCCTCTTTTTGCTGAGGAAGACTGGCCCTGGGCTAACGTCCATGCCCATCTTCCTCTACTTTATATGTGGGGTGCCTGCCAGAGCATGACTTGGTAAAGTGGTGCGTAGATCCGCACTGCGGGTTCCAAACCCGCGAACCCCAGGCTGCCAAAGTGGAGTTTGAGAACTTAACCACTACGCCACCAGGCCAGCCCCATCTTGTCTCCTTGATGATATTAATCCCTTATCAGATATATAGACAAGTGAGATTGCATCAAACCAGAAAGCTTCTGCACAGCAAAGGAATCAACAGAGTAAAAGGCAACCTACGGAATGGGAAAAAACATACGCAAACCATGTATCTGATAAGGGATTAATATGCAAAATATATAAAGAACTTATAATACTCTAGCAAAAAGCTAATGACTCGATTAAAAAAAGGGCAAAGGACTTGAACAGACATTTATCCAAAAAAGATATACAAATGACCAATAGATATATGAAAAAATGCTCAATGTCAGTGAAATGCAAATCAAAACCACAATGATATATTATTTCATACCTGTTAGGATGGCTATTATTAAAAAAACAAAAGACAACAAGTATTAGAAACAAAAGGAAGGTATAACAGCTGTGCACATAATAATATTGCATCAAAATGTTTAAAGTAAGAATTGACAGAACTAAAAGTAGATATAGACAACTCCACTGTTAACAGTGGAAGATCTTAACACATTCCTCCTCTAGTAAC